TCCAGTGGATATAATTAATTCGCAATTAATACATAATGGATAAAGTATTTTACAATGCTTAAATTAATTTACCATGAATTTGGCAATTGGGTATTGGTGTTACTTGGTTTACATTTGATGTTGCAATAAAAAGTAAAATGTTCCTGGTTACTGATAAAGGTAGACATAACATACTTTCCCCCTGGATCATAGTGTACAATTGCACTTACCTTGCCTAGAATAATTGTACTCCATACTTTTTGGCCTGGGACAAAGGCTCCTGTTCTGTCTAAATTGGAATAAATAAGATAATCCAATTGTGTAAGAATGTGAGTAGCTTGTATGATAGAATTAGTAGTTAGGTGGTGCACCTGAAATATCTGGTAGAACCATTTTATATGTGCATTATTACATTTAGCAAAATGTTGCTCCCCTGAGAGAAGCTGACCTTTATCTAATAAGTCCATAATTGCATGTAGACCTCTATTTTCCCATGTTGCAAATTGATGACATTTTTCCTTGTCAAAGAATAACAAATGATTTTAAAGCTGGGATTAAAGGGGAAATTGGAGGGGCTAGTTTTTGTGCCCGGTTCGTCCATACTTCGAAAATAGCTTTTGCAAATGGATTAATAATGATAACTAAATTACATAAAGCAGATGGAAGACAGGGAAGAGCTCTCAAGGACAAACGCTGGAGGCCATGAGTTTCCATAAGCACCCAATGCTGTGAATAGTTATTCCAAATGACATGAATCAATTGCTTCAACTAGAGAGCATTGTTACACAATTGCAGCTTGATTGCTCAAAAAATGCCATTCCTAGTATGCCTATAAAGAGCACTCGTTTTTAAATGACGCATATATACACATACACACACACAGTTAATAAATTGTTTGCTATTTTTAAAAAAGATGGTGAAATATAAATCAGAAGTACTGTATATGAAAGATAAAATACAATCTTGGAGTTCATATAATTTTTTATAGCAACTGCAAAATATTTAATTCTGCGGGCAACAAACAGCAACAAAACCTGCACATTTCTCTGTATAAGGTAAATTATTATCTTGTGCTTGTGAATTCTTATCCCCCGTGCCTTACTCCTCAAAGGATAACAGCAATCTATTTTGTTGTCAGTTTTGTATGAGCCCCTAAAAAAGCACTTTTCCCATCACATCTTTTGCCATAGTCAAAACAAAAAAAATTCCTTCCAGTAGCACCTTAAAGACCAACTAAGTTAGTTCTTGGTATGAGCTTTCGTGTGCATGCACACTTCTTCAGATACACGGCTACCTATCTGTAACTGGATCTTTTGCCATATAAGCTTTTGCCATTTTTTGTGTGCATATGCAGCTCACTGTTTCCTCTGTGTGCACATTTTTGTGCCTTTGTTCACACACCAGCCCTTTCAGTTTTATGCCTATGAAATCTATCTTGATGTTTCCCATCCACACCAGCCCTGCTTGGTGGGATGTAGTTGTGCTGCATGTTATTGCCCCCTACCCTTGATTAGCCTGCTCATACAGTTCCTACCCAGGGTGAACTATCGTTAATTATAACAGTGTACAGCAACTGCGAAGAAAGCAAATTCCATGTTTGGGATCATTGGGAGAAAGGATTCAAAATAAATCTGCTATCGTCAGTTTTCTTATTTTACAGTGTCTTGAGTAAGAAACCAATACGTTGCTTAAATCAAGCAGAGCTTTAATCAGAATTCCATGTGAGGGGCCATTAGGAAAGGAACTGAAGATAACGCCGCCAAGATAATGCCATTACAAAAAATCTATGGTGTGAAAACACTTGGAATGCTGTGTATAGTTCTAGTTGCCTTATTTTAAAAAGGATCCTGGAAGAGAGCCGGAAAAGGGCAACCCAAATTATCAAGTGGTTTAGTAAAAAGGCAACTACCTCTCTTTTAAATCAGAACCAGTGAAGGCAGTGAAGGTCCTGTGTGAGTGCCTGGAGGCAGTTGGAGGATGGATGGCGGCCAACAGATTGAGGTTGAATCCTGACAAGACAGAAGTACTGTTTTTGGGGGGACAGGGGGTGGGTGGGTGTGGGGGACTCCCTGGTCCTGAATGGGGTAACTGTGCCCCTGAAGAACCAGGTGTGCAGTTCCCTCATTGCGAGAAGTGAAGTTACAGGGAACCAGGCAGAGGGCCTTCTTGGTAGTGGTGCCCGCCCCTGTGAAACGCCCTCCCTTCAGATGTGAAGGAAATAAGTAGCTATCTTATCTTTAAAAGACATCTGAAGGCAGCCCTGTTTAGGGAAGTTTTTAATATTTATTGCTGTATTGTTTTTACCACTCGATTTGAAGCCATCCAGAGTGGCTGGGGAAACTCAGCCAGATGGGTGGGGTATAAATAATAATAATAAATTATTATTATTATTATTATTATTATTATTATTATTATTATTATTACTACTACTACTACTACTACTACTAACAGGGAATATGATAGAGGTATATAAGGTTTGGTATGCTGCAAAGAAAGTGAAGTGGGATAAGTTTTCCTCTTCTCTCATAACACTGTGAGCTGAGTGTTGGAATATTCAAAACAAACAAAAGGAAGAACTTCTTCACGCAGTACATAATTAAACTATGGACCTTGCTTCCATTGGATGTAGTGGTGAGGACCACCAATTTGGATTGTTTTAAAGGAGAATTAGACAAATTAATGGTCTATCAATTGCTACTAGCCATGCTGTCTATGTTCTGCCTCCACTAACAAAGGCAGTACAGGCGACATCCTATTTACGTAGGGATTACATTCCGGGTCATCACGCAGAGCATGCATAAACCCATTCCACCCTCTTCCAGTGCCGCACATGGCCCACAGTCATGTTTGCATGGTGCATGCACAAATTGAGAGTTGCCTGTGTCCTAGCAGCTGGGTAAACTAGTGGGGAAAGTGCTATTGTGCTCAAGTCATGCTTTCAGGCTTTCCTTAGGCATCTGGTCAGTCACTGTGAAAACAGCATGTGGACTAGATAGGCCTTTGGTGTGATCCAGGCTCTTCTTATATTCGTAACATTGCAGTGGATATTTACCAAAAATAACATTAAAAAGTTGAAGCAGGTTAACTTGTTTTCAAAGGCAGTACATTAATGTCATGGGAAACAAAATCATGTCTCATATTGCAATCCACTGCAACTTGTTAGAGATATGGAATTAAGCAATTTAAAATAGCATATTTCTTTTAGGGCCTCATAGCCTATATACAGCTTTTCATTTTAAAGTACAACTGGCTGCTGATACATGTTTTAAACAGTTGGCAATTATGTTTTCTAATACACCTTCCACCAAAAATATGACTTAATTTACCTTTAAAATGCAGTCAAGGCAAAGCCTTGCTGAAAAGTAAACAGAGTATCCTATGCCTGAAGAAGAGTCTTCAGCAATATGAAATAGTTGAGGGAGGTCAATATGAGAGAATTGGGCTCCTGCAGCCACGTCCCTTTTTCCATCTGGTGCATGTTCTGAAATTCTAGTTTTGTGTCAGAGATTGGCTGGACACTGAGGAGGGGTGGCTGGATACTGATGAGTGGGCACCAGGAGAAGGAAAGTTGAAGACTGACTTGGAAGAAGGGATCAGTAATCTGGGGGAGCCTGTTACAACCGGGAGGTGAGAGTTAGAGGCAGGAGAAGCTGCAGGATTCGACAGGGAAGAACAGGTGCAGGAGGGAGAGATAGGTCAGGCTGGTATAGAGTCACGGCTTCCATGCCTCCTCCTCCTCCTGCCCCCATCTCTCCTGCCTCACTGTCTCCCAGGACGAGAAGAGGATTGAAGCGGAAGGGGAAAAGCAGGTTACTTGGAGGCAGAGTCTTTGCCTGCTTGTGCGCAGCTCAGGTGGGGAAGATACATAGTGTAAACTGAGGTCAGGGACGGAGCCTCCCTGTGGCTGTAACTGCCTAATTGGGTGCACACTTAGAAGTAGCTGAAGGATGTAGGACTGTTGGACATACCTTTCCCTAACTTGTAAGTGTACTTTTGACAGTAAAGTGTTCATTCCTCACTCTGTACATTCCTTGTCTGAGAGCTCCATGAATTTTTGTAGAGATTATGTCAGGGGTCAGCAACCTTTTTCAGCCGTGGGCTGGTCCACTGTCCCTCAGACCATGTGGTGGGCCGGAGTATATTTTGGGGGGGGGAAATGTGAACAAATTCCTATGCCCCATAAATAACCCAGAGATGCATTTTAAATAAAAGCACACATTCTACTCAAGTAAAAACACTGTGCAGGCCCCACAAATAACCCAGAGATGCATTTTAAATAAAAGCACACATTCTACTCATGTAAAAAACACACCGATTCCTGGACCGTCCACGGGCTGGATTGAGAAGGCGATTGGGCCGCATCCGGCCCATGGGCCTTAGGTTGCCTACCCCTGGATTATGTGCTTTTTCAAAACATTGAATAGAGGAGAAAAATAAAAGCTTAGAACATTGCCACCTTTCAATCAGTTTCAGAACCATGGACTCATTAGCACAATTCAGAAGAAACTTCCCAAATCACATTGAAAGCTAAATAATTTTAACATTTATGTGAGGAGTTAAAACCAATGGGATTTATGTTTCTGGTTTTAACCCCCTTATCTCATATGGGAAGCCCATATGAGCCCAAAGGAATATGTTTCTACCCTACTGGATCGGCCGCAAATCAATCCCCCCCAAATGCTATTGGAGTCTACAACAGCAACCACGCCGGCCATTGGCCATTCTAACAGGGCTGATGAGAAGTGGAGTGTGACAACATCTGAAAGGCCACTGGTTCCCCATCCCTGAACTAACCAGCATTCTCCATGGAAATCAGTGGGACTTACTTCCAAATAATGCATATATATCTCAGAAGACATAGCCCCACTGTGAGACTGGCGTGAGAACTTGCAAGTTCTTGCAAGTCTTGGATAACATCTTAAGAGGCTATACAGGATGCTAGAATGCACATTAATACACATGAGAAAGGCAGTAATCTCTCTCTCTCTTTCTGTTTCACAGGCTTCTGCTATAGGCCTTTGCCAGTGCATCCTGATAATCTGATTAGGAGATTTTGTCGAGCAACACTTCTTTTCCTAACACTGTGACCATGGCTGTCTTGAGAGTAAAATTCACCAAAACCAAGAGAGACAAGTTGGCTCAAATCCTGTGGATCCTCAACTGGATTTCTGTGGTGTCTGGTGTAATTCTGTTCAGCCTGGGACTTTTCCTGAAGATCGAACTCAGAAAGCGAAGTGAGTTGATGGGCAAAGGGGATATTAACTCTGTCCCCAACATGCTAATATCTGTAGGGGTTGTAGCATGCATCATCAACTTTCTTGGAGGTAAAATCTGCTATGACTGCACAGACTCCAACAAATTCAACCGATGGAAGTTGTTTATGCTCCCTTATATTGTTTGCACATTCTGCTTCACCTTCTGCATTTTGGTAGGTGCTGTCATGTGTTATACCATGAGAAATGAACTGGAGGAATCTCTGTATCTGGGGCTGAGGGACGCTATTAAGTTCTACAAGGACACAGACATTCCTGGAAGGTGCTTTTTAAAGAAAACCATCGACATATTACAAATCAGATTCCAATGCTGTGGAAACAACGGTTTCAGGGATTGGTTCGAAATTCAGTGGGTCTCAGTTCGCTATCTGGATATGGCTTCAAAGGATGTTCAAGAGTAAGTATTAAATGTATAATATTTTTTGATGTTGGCTCATAAAATCAGTTTTGGTTGAGCAAATGAATCTGAGTACATTAAACTGGGAAACACTAGGGAATGCCATGGTAGCCTAGAGAAAGCGATGAATTTAAGAGCAACCCAACTGAATCAGGCCAAAGGCTTATCTAGTTCAGCATCCTGTTCTTAGAGTGGCCAACCAGATGCCTATGGGAATCTCACAAGTAAGACCTGACTGGAACAGCAGTCCTCCCACTTATGGTTCTCAGCGACTGATATTCAGAGGCATGCTGACAGTGGCTGGCCTTATCTGTCATTGTTTTGCTTAATCTTCTTTAAAAAACCATCCAAATTTGTGTTCATCAATCCATCTTCTGGAAGCAAATTCCATAGTTTAAATATATGCCTTGTGAAGAAGCTCTTTTTTTTTGGTCTGTCCTGAATCTTCTACCATTGAGCTACATTGGATGGCTCTGAGTTCTAGTACTATATGAGAAATAATGACTTCTCCCTCTCTACGCCATGCATACTGTTAAACACTCTGTCATGCCCTCCTTAGTCACAGTTTCTCTCAACTAAAAAGCCCCAAATGTTATAAGCTTTCCTCATAGGGGAGGTGCCCCAGTCCTTGATCGTTTTGGTTGCCCTTTCCCAGCTCTATAATATCATTTTTGAAGGGAACCATCCAAGACGGTAACCAGGCAGGAGTGAAGTAGGGGCATAATTACTCATGGCACACAGTGATGCTGTTAAACTAATAAAGCAAATGTATTTAAATAGGACAAATATAATTTTAAAGAAGCGCCTAGACTGTTGACATATAGAAATAAACAAAACAATTGTAAACTATTTAATTATCCCACTCTATTAGTCCAAAGACTTACATGGCTGCTTTCAATTTTAAAACAGTGCTAAAAATAAATCAAAACACACACAATAAATATTCAGAAGCAGCATCACAAACAAGGAAAAACCACATTCAGCTCAAGAGTAAAAGACCTAAAAGGCCTGGGCAAATGAAAAGGACTTCAGTTGTGCCAAAGAGACATTATGTTCAGCGCCAGGCTAGCTTCACTGGGGGGGAACTATTCTACATCCAGGCTGCTGCAATGGATGTAGAAGAAGCTGGGGGAATTCAGTGAAAGATATATGAGGAAGAGCTTAACAGCTGGGCAATTTCATGCAGAATAAGAGGGTCCTTCAGAAACCCAGGTCTGCCCTGCTTGCAAATTGAAAAGAAATAAACTTATTGGAAACAAACCAGCAGCCAATTCAGCTGTTTCCAAAAGTGATATGTTTATGAGCTGTTCTACTAGTTGCCTAGTTAGGGATCTTGCTACTCTATTTTGCACCAAGTGAACTTTCCATTTTCCAGAGGAATAGCTAAGCTAGTTTGTTACAGCAAAAACAACATCAACCAAGTACTGTGGCCACTTAAAGACTAACAAATGTATTATGGCATCGGTTTTTGTGGACTACAGTCCACTTCACCAGATGCATGAAATCTGTATCTGTAACACAGGAGAAGACTGAATGCATCTGGACGGTTAAATCCTGTCAAAGGCGACACCTTTAAGCACATTTTAAAGACATTTTAAACACAGAATTCTGGGCACTGTAATTTGTTAAGGATTGCTGGGCATTGTAAGGGTAAACGACAGTGCCCGGAATTCTCTGAGGGGAGGAAATGTGCCCTGAATGTGCTTTAAGGATGGAGTGTGTCCACACTAGCAAGCTGACCTATTTACTGCTCTCACAGTGTCTATTTTCCACATCTTTGTTGCAGCCGCCTAAAAAGCAACGTCGATGGGAAGTTCTTGGTGGATGGAGTTCCCTTCAGTTGTTGCAACCCAATCTCACCCCGACCCTGCATCCAGTATCAGCTAACAAACAATACAGCTCACTACAACTATGATTTTATGACAGAAGAACTTAATATTTGGATGAGAGGATGCAGGGAAGCCCTACTGGATTATTACACTGACATCATGAGATCCATCGGTATCACTGTGCTCCTCATCTGGTTGTTTGAGGTAAAATATTACAGCACAACTTTCAGAGCTTCTTGTGTCGCAAGTACTATGATGAATGGAGTCCTCCAGGCCTTTCTGACCCTTGAGGCTCTCCATAGGCAATGGCCCTCACTGGACCTGATGTGTTTAAGCACCATAAATGCTTTGGGCTGACTGGAATGTGCCCTTGAGCTGTGGTGCCTCTTGTTTGGCTGGACAGAGGTGTGCGTGTGTGCATATGTAGAAACCTCTGGTATTCACACATATCTTGAATATAGCCTCCAAGATAGGAGTCATATACATTTTTGGCTCTGTCTGGCCACATCCACCATTTTCATGCAACCCCAGAAGACTGCCCTTTAGGGAATGTAGTCCTCAGGCTGAAAAAAGGTGCCCCATCCATGTTATACGTTATATAGTGTTATACTGTACAGTGCAGGAATCAGGAACCTGTGCCCCCACTCACATCTAGACTACAACTCTCATCATCTTTGACCTCTGACTGTGCTTCCAGGAGCTGATGGGAGTTGAACAACCCCCAAAAGGTCATAATTGTTTAATCCCCAATACAAAGAACAAGTGCTTTGTTTCTGGGGGGATGCAGGGGTACACATACCCCTAAACATTTTGTGAATCTTTGTACTTTTGTCCATTTACTGTATTTATTTTCCCTGATATGAACTATAAAATGGTGATTTTTCTTGAGTCAAAATGAGAGTACCCCTAAACATTTTTTAAGAAAAAAAGCACTGCAGAGAACAAATAGTTGAGGATGTCTGCATTATCCAGAATTTTGGTACACAACACTATCCTTGCTCAATCTACGTTGCCTTCACTAAATCAATATGAATAGATTTGAATTGTTGGTTTTTTAAAATATATATATATAAATTGAATTATTGGTTTTTAAAATATATATATAATTGAATTGTTGGGTTGTTAAATATATATATATATAAATCACTGCTTATGGAGGAAATAACATGCAGTATAAAATATTCATCAGGCTTTAAAGTAGATAAGAATAAGATTCCTTAAAATTCATCAGCTTGTTCTTTTGGGGGGGGAAGGGAACAGGACGTTCCAACAGCACACCTCTCCTTTTCACGGTCTCCTTTAATGTAGGGCAAATAACAAGACTGTGACAAATAAAAGCTTCTTATGTCTGATGATGCTTACAAGTAACAGTGACCTTTTGAGTCTGGGGCGTCCAAAAATACCAGCAATTTTATCCCTTACTATGCTTGCTGCAAAGCTACATCAAGACAGAAAAGGTTCTAGCTGAAGACTAGAAGCACAATAACAGTAGCCTCGCCACTAGATAATTCCTAAAATTTTCAATTGGCATTGGGACAAAGTCTAAATTACCTCAGACTTAACATTCTGAAAACAATTAAGGGTCTCAAATGTGTGTACCTGGGGTTAATACATTCAGATAATGCACAGAAAGGTGAACCAAAAGGAGATTAATAATAATTATTATTATATATATATATATATGTCACCCATCTGACTGGGTTGCCCCACTCTGGGCAGCTTCCAACAAATTAAAACATAAACATAGTAAGACATCAAACATCTGAAGGCAGCCCTGTATAGGGAAGTTTTTTTTAAGCTTAATGTCTTCTAAAAGTCAGTTAGTTGTTTATTTCCTTGACATCTGATGGGAGGGTGTTCCACAGGAAGGGTGCCACTACCGAGAAGGCCCTCTGCCTAGTTCCCTGTAACCTCACTTCTCGCATTGAGGGAATCACCAGAAGGCTCATGGAGCTGGACCTCAATGTTTGGGCTGAGCAATGAGGGTGGAGACACTCCTTCAGGTATGCAGGGCCGAAATTGTACAAAAGGGATTGAGGCAGAAAATACGGTACTCAAAATCAGTGTTGTGTTTTGTTTTGCTAATTCTCAATTGGCTAGTTTGTCTTTTGAGAGGGAGGGAGTAGAAGGAGAGAGAGAGAGAGAGAGACAGAGAGAGAGAGACACAGAGAGAGAGAGAGAGACAGAGAGAGAGAGGAATATTGGAGGGCCATTGTGGAGGTCCTGGGAGAGAATGGAATATAAGAAGCTGCTTCATACCATATGCTTCATCTAGCTCAGTATTGCCTACACTGAATTGGTTGTGGCTCTCTAGGATTTCAAACAGTGTTCCTTTCTGGTTCTATCTGGACATGTTGGGGATTGAACCTGGTATCTTCTGCATGCAAAGCAGATGCTCTGTCTATGAGCCATAAAGGTAAAGGTAAAGGTACCCCTAACCATTAGGTCCAGTCGCGGACGACTCTGAGGTTGCGGCGCTCATCTCGCTCTTTAGGCCGAGGGAGCCAGCGTTTGTCCACAGACAGCTTCCGGGTCATGTGGCCAGAATGACTAAGCTGCTTCTGGCGAAACCAGAACAGTGCACAGAAATGCCGTTTACCTTCCCGCCCCGAGTGGTACCTATTTATCTACTTGCACTTGACATGCTTTCGAACTGCTAGGTGGGCAGGAGCTGGGACCGAACAACGGGAGCTCACTCTGTCACAGGGATTCGAACCGCCAACCTTCTGATTGGCAAACCCTAGGCTCTGTGGTTTTTAGACCACAGCGCCACCCGCGTCCCTCAGTGAGCCATATCCCACCCTTTATGTAAGATAAAGCATGACACCACCTAGCTGCTCTGGTAGCATGCTTCACTTGGAAATCCTCATCTTTTAGTGTATAATAAAATTTGAGAAAGCCAAGAAATTCATTGCTAAAATATTCCATTAAGCCTAACATTAAAACATTAATAGTAAATAATTTAAATACAAAGAACAGAATTGCAACACTAAGCAATTCTAGTTCCCGGTGGTCATAACAGTATTCTTAATAAGTGTTTCTTTATTTTTTTCCATTGGTTAATGGTTTGTAATGTTAATTTGGTTCTTTTTCTCTCTCTAGCTGTCTGTGCTTACTGGAGTTCGTTACCTTCAAACAGCAATGAGGAATGTTCTCCTCTTGGGTGATCCGCAGTGTGACTCAGATGGTTGGTTGCTTGAGAACAGCTTTGTAGAAACTGCCAAAAACAACATCAACATCATTAAGAATCTTGGCAAGGCTAATCAGATATCAACGGTTTCAGGGAATGACCCTAACATGGATGTTAAAACTGCAAACCACGGTCCAGAGAATGTTCCAACAAAATCAATCCCCACAGCTTAACTGGATGCAGCACTCAAGACTTCTAATATGGTTTGGCATCACAGTCACTACTGTGCATTTTTGCTGTGCGTTTTTCCCCACAGGTGAGAATAAAACCAGAATCCAAAGAATGGAATCAGTAAATCATATCCTGGTAACAGGACAAAACATGAGGACTTCTGGCAGAGGGGAGTACTTCAATGTACTTACCCAGTTTCTGAATTTACAGTGTTACCTAGTTCTACACAGCCCTTCTCTCTCTCTTTTACAATGCACATAGAATGCTGGTTTGGAATTTGCAATGTTTCCCCCCTTCTTTTACTCTAAATATGTTGTGCCCAGTGTTTATGAAATGTGAACACCAGGAAGATAACTGCATTGCTGTATGAAACAGACTGAACACCATATAGCTTTAGGAGTGGTGGGTTTTTAAATCATTTATCGTTCAGTCTTTTTGTAGGTCAAGTTGTTCCTATATTTTGCAGGGACTGTACCTGCCTAAAGCACAGCTTTCTAAAATTCCCAAGTCCACTTTCTGCACTCTCGTCACAAAAAAGCTTGTTATATCATCTGAATATATTTTATCTTAATGTGACAGAAGTATCTTTATTCACTTAACTGCTGTAAGGCTGCCTTAACTGAATGCAATTTATTGTCACTGTAAGTTTAGAACTTAAACGCTTCAAATCTGTTTCTTTAACAGGTTTTTCCATCTCCGCCGTATTAAGCAGTTGGTCCCTTACACCTTTCTCGCCCTGATCTGGCCACAGTGATCCATGTGATGGTCACCTCCAGGCTTGATTATTGTAACTCACTCTACGCAGGGCTGCCCTTGAAGCTGACCCAGAAACTCCAGCGGGTGCAGAATGCCACAGCGAGGCTCCTTACGGGGTCCTTGCCGCGGGATCACATTCATCCAGTGCTTTACCAACTGCACTGGCTCCTGGTGGAGTACAGGTTCAAGTTCAAGGTGCTGGTTGACCTTAAGGTCCACAAATTACAACACTTTGGAGGTCCCAAGCCGCAAGGTGGTTAGATTGGTATCAACTAAGGCCAGGACCCTTTCAGTACTGGCCCCGACTTGGTGGAACGCTCTGTCACAAGAGACTAGGGCTCTGCGGGACTTGACATCTTTCCACAGCGCCTGCAAGACAGAGCTGTTCCGCCTGGCCTTTGGTTTGGACTCAGTCTGACCCTTATGTTTTCCCTCCCCTTGTTTTTGATCCATGGGCTACTTTTAAAATGAGGCTGCATTTTAAATTGCATTTTAACCTGTATTTTAAATTGTCCCCCCCCCATTATGTTTTTATTGTAATTTTACTGGTGTTAGCTGCCCTGAGCCCAGCTCTGGCCGGGGAGGGCGGGGTATAAATACCGTATTTTTCGCTCTATAACACGCACCAGACCATAACACGCACGTAGCTTTTAGAGGAGGAAAACAAGAAAAAAAATATTCTAAACGAAATAGTGAATATATGATTTTTGTGGTTCATGCTGTGGCCACAGACATGTGATCTGACAGTGAGTTTGGAGTAGCCCAATGCAAAAATCCTGAGGATCCATGTGGATCCATGCTTTGTAACCACGGAGGAGGGAAGGAAGGGGAACCATGGATCCTCTGCTCACGACTGCAGCAGATCCCCCCCCCCCGCCACCCGCAGGCATTCGCTCCATAACACGCACAGACATTTCCCCTTACTTTCTAGGAGGAAAAAAGTGAGTGTTATGGTGCAAAAAATACGGTAATTTTTTATTATTAACTTGTAATTTGAAAGCAAACCATTCAGGGCGGTTATAGATTTACATTCTGAAATAGGGCTCCCTCATAAAGGTGCTAAAGTGAATAAAGATTGGCCTCAAATCCCAAGCGAATAATGAAGTTAGAGAGAGAGAGAGAGAAAGAAGGTTCTATGAACAGAAATGAAACCACAGTGGACCTTACAATTTAGCATACACTAAAATATGTGCATGTTGTAACAACTAGCAGATAGCAACTTTGCAGTATGTAATTCAGAACAAGGTATCAAATAAAAACACTTTCAAGTCTTTATAGATATTTATTAGCAATGGTGACTAAGTGAATAAAAAATTCAATGCTTTTTTTCTGGAAAAATAGGTGCCGGTACTCACCATGAAGTTGTTACAGTAAGTGCCACACTTTTTAACAACAGAAAGAGATGCCGGTACTACCTTGAGTACCCCTGGGGAAAACACTGGTTATACTGCTAGGTACCAGTAGCTCATAATTTAAATTTTGGAAATATGCAAATGCATTAATATTTCACTCTGCTCTTTTTCAAAAAATCCCATAAGTTACAGACTGAAAAAGAAAGAGATTATGCTCTCTATATTATCAAAAACTATATTAGCATAGTTTTTGTAAATATAACATTTGGTTTGCACTTGCAAAGGGTGAAAATGTCCAAATAAAATCAATCCATTTAAATTACATGAAAGTGTATGTGTGTGTGTGTGTGTGTGTGTGTGTCCATTCATTCTTCTATAAGGATACTAGAAGAAATTCCACCCCGCTTCCTCCTGCACAAGGGGCCATTATGATCATTTAGTCTGATTTTCTCCCAATTTTCTCAGTAGCAGATTGTGCAGTAAGGAGAAAATTATTCCTTATTAGACATGTGACCTACCTGTAATTTGTTGAAGAATGACAGCTGCGGCTCAACCCCTTTTGCAAATCACAAGCTCTAGGGAGGAGAGTTGGGGGCAAGAGCAGTTTCTCTGGACATATTTGGATTACTAGTAGTCACCTCAGATAACTGAACTCAGAAATCACCATTTCAGTTGATGGAGAACCAATATTTTTATGGTAACTTAATTGTGCTTAATGCTACATACATGACTACACAAATCAAATGATTAAGCGCATCTCCTTCTGGCATGGAGCCAGGCTCTGATGAAGGAGCCTGCTGTGGGGGTGCCTGTTTGCGCCCTTTCAAAATTGTGCCTGGGGCCACAGCCCCCATGCTATGCACCACAGTGGTACCTATTTATCTACTTGCACTGGCATGCTTTTGAACTGCTAGGTTGGCACCAACCCTTCAAATTCATCAGCATGAATGTCAGATTTTCTTTCATGAGCCCCGTTGCAGACCTGCAGAGACCCTTTTTGTAGCTTTGACTGCATCACTCATTTGGAAACAGCCAAGTCCTCTTCCTATTCTTTCTCTGGTGGATGGGTGGATTGGTAAGTTAACTAGACAGAGATTTTGTGGGCCAGCATCCTTCTTTAGGACCATTCTCTTTATCATCCATCCATCCATCTATCTATCATCTATCTATCTATCTATCTATCTATCTATCATCTATATATCTATCATCTATCTAATTTGTATACTGCCTTCATCTGAAGATCATAGGGCAGCTCACAACATAAAAACGAGAACATAAAATACATAAAGCAAAAACAAAGCACCCACTCCCCTCCCACAACACATTTAGAAGGTCACACAGAGTTTAATCAGACAAAGCCCTGGTTATAGAAAAACGTTTTCACCAGGCACCTAAAGATATGTAATAAAGACACCAGATAAACCTCCTTGGGGTGAGCATTGCACAAGCAGGGAGCCACTGCAGAAAAGGTCCGTTCTCTTGTCGCTGCCTTCTGGACCTCTCACGGAGTGGGAACATGAAGAAGGGCCTCAGAGGGTCTGGGTTCGTTCACAGAGGGAGAGGTGGTCCACTGCCTCTCCTCCAGAGGTAAAGTTCAAGAAGAGCTGGGTGTCATCAATCTTGCTGACAACATATTCCAAACCTCTGGATAACTCCACTCAGCGGTTTCATGTAGATGTTAAAACAACATAGGGGATAAAATTGAACCCTGAGGAACCCCACATTGAAGACTCCACTGGGCTGAAGAACACTCTCCAAGCAACACCCTCTGGAAACGTGCATCCAAGTATGACTGGAACCAAGGCAAAGCGGTACTACCCACCCCTAACTCTGACAGCTGCTCCAGGAGGAGACCATAGCTGATGGAAACAAAAGCTGCTGAGAGGTTGAGGAGAATGAACAGGGATACATTTCCCCGGTCTCTCTCACAACAGAGATAATCATACAGGGCAACCAAAGCAGTTTCTGTGCCAAAACCGGGACGAAACACCGATTGAAAAGGATCTCTTCCATCTTGGGTCCCCAAATGTTGTTAGACTACAACACAAATCATCCCCAGCCAGCTTAGTCAATATTCCTCTGCATTTCCATTCAAGTCATGCATAGAAAGTCATGCAACCTCACATGTTCTCAAGCTCTTAAAAGGACAACCAGCCAGTTCTTGTTATAAATGTGAAGTAAGCAATAGTCACCCAGAAACGAAACTAGACAGGCAGAGATGTGGCAAGGCTTTCAAAAAGGTTTCGTGTTTAGAAAAAGTGGACACTCAATGTTATGTACTGAGTTGAATAGGATCTAAAAGGCAGCAGGGTGATTGGCCTTAGAACAATAGGATCCAAAATGCAGCAGTCTGATTGGTCCTAGAACAATAGGATTCAGAATGCAGTAGTCTGATTGGTCCTAGAACAATGCAGCAGTATGATTGGTCTGCAGGAGCCACCCAATCCAGCTCCAGATGGAAGTGAATCCACAACCTGATTGGCCTACAGGAGAATTCCGAAATTAGCCAATCACGTGCAGCCCATTGTGTAAATAATGTATATAAAGCAGATACTTTGGGGGAACTTTCATTCCTCCTCCCACTATGAGCTGAATAAAGAGCATGAAATCCAGTCTCGACTCCGAGTATATTTCACTCAAGCAGCAACACTTGTTTAAAATTGAGGGGACTAGTAACTTGGAGAGATATGGCAGGCATATTCCTTAGAATCTTTGGCAGAAAAGATTCTAACCCAGAATAGTCTCAGCATTGCTTGTAGGATGACACCTCTAAGGGTGATTTCTCTTTCTTCTTTCTCATACACTTTTGTTTAGTATCTCCTAAATGCTCATGTACCACCAAGATTATGATGACAGGTTGGAAACCATGGATGTAAGTAAGCATCTAGCCCCAGGGTAGACAGAGTGCAGCCCATAGCCAGTTTTCTGTTGGTCTATTACCCTAGAGCTTGCTGGAATTCTCACAAATAAGGTTGACCCAGCAAGGCATATCACTTAAGTAAGAGTATATAGCCAGGATCACTTAACGCGGATTAATTAAGCTTTAACAGTTAAGTAATCTCTCGTTTTCTTTTTTTTAATGTAAAATGAGCAAGTCAACCTTTCCTAGTGCACCAGTACAATGATACTTCCAACATTTTCCAGAGTTTAGAAATATTTGTGTTCCAACCAAGGAAAACTAGCTCAAATAGCAGCACAGTCCTTATTCGAATTCTCATTAGAGGAGACACAGATGGCATTAGCAAGGCAAGTCTCTAAGCTGCAGCATCTGCTCAGATACAGAAATAAATACGATTTGTTGTAGACTTCTGCTCCTATTTATCATCAATGTGTAAGCCAATCAGAAATAGGAGAGCAACGTGGGGTTTTTTTTAAAAAACACCTTGCCATACATGGAAATAGATCCACTGCATTCAGACAGTTTAAGACACTGGTCTTAAGGCACCTATATAAGAACCAACACAAGATCCCCTCACTTGACAGGTATATACATCACATATACTTACACTAGTACAGTGGTACCTCGGGTTACAGACGCTTCAGGTTACAGACTCCGCTAACCCAGAAATAGTACCTCGGGTTAAGAACTTTGCTTCAGGATGAGAACAGAAATTGTGTTCCGGCGGTGCGGCAGCAGCAGGAGACCCCATTAGCTAAAGTGGTACCTCAGGTTAAGAAGTTTCAGGTTAAGAATGGACCTCCAGAACGAATTAAGTTCTTAACCCGAGGTACCACTGTATACCCCCCCTTGATGATATATAGCTGAAATGTGAACTGCTGCCTCCTCTTAAAATATTGTGACCTGTGATTAGCTAATGCCTCTCTGTAGTTTGTGTGATGTTATGTTATGGCAGTTTCACATACAGAGTTTCATAATTTCTTGTGGCACTAAGCAATGAAAATGTTACATCAATTTTTTTGGGGGGGGGAAGAGTTCACATATCAGCCATTCGGGAAACACTGAGTTTGTGCTTATAACTCTTGTTATAACAGGCAGCCAGTATGTACCAGTCACAGTTATTACTGACATAGCTGTTTATAGGGTGTGTTAGTTTGTTTGTTTTTGAAGGAAGACACATAGGTGTAATTTCTGGTTTAAATGTTGGCCATATCTCTCTGCCTGGTTGATACACGTCAGTATTGTGGCAAAAGGTGGCATTAAAATATTGGCTGATAATTTCTTAGCTCTTGTCTCTTCATTTTCCTTACCGGATATTATCCATTACAGTTGTCTAGAAACGTAACATTTTGAAATGGAAGTCCACAAGGTATGAGAAGTTACTTTATTTCCTTTTTAAATATACAGATACAAGATATTTTAAAAGGACAAGAACATTATACAAGGCTCAAATTTACATTTTTGCAATTAAAGGATAACAATATATGCATGTATGTAAATAAAATTCCATTCATCTTCCTTATGATTCCTGTCAGTGGCATTAGCACTGTGTGTTCACTAAATACAAATAATCCTCACAGTGAGATAAACTGCATAGTAATTAATGAAACTAAAAATGACCATTCACTCTCATCTGTGCATGAGCTTATTTGCTAGAAAAGTAAAAACACATAAGAACAGAAGTTAGTTTGTTCATTTTGCCTCTGATTTTTCTCAAGTCAGGTTATTAAAAAAAATCAGAGTAAACGGAACAAAAAACCTGATCACTGGAGTAAACACTGTTCAGCTATATTCCTATATGTGTATCCTTAGCTGGGTAGGAAACTGCACACAAACATCAACTGCCTGCATTATTCCTCAATCTGATCAGACAGCAGGGCTTGACTGCACAGGACCCACCCATTCAAGAAAGCGAGAATCCTAGTTACTGGTTGATCAGCAAGAAAAGGAGTCACACATTTTGGATCTCCTACGTTCCTCTACCCTCTGCTTATGGGTGAACGTTTAGCTTCCTTTAAGGGACTAGGGATGTTCACCTCTAGCTGCTGTGGTTGTTCACTGTTGAATTCAGCAAAAAGCAGTGTTCACATGCAACTGAATTAAAAATTAATCTTGCTGAGTACAATCCAGCCAGTGTTAAGCATTTTAAAGTGTTATTTCCTATTTCAAAATCAAGACTGCACCTAACTTTCTAACTGAACCAATGGAATTCAGGTGCTGCCTGAACCATGCTCATTGTTTTCAAGAACCAATCCATTGTTTGAGAACTTCGCAGTGAAATTAGCTCTCACATTCTCCTCATCAGGCATCTGTTTACAAGCCTCTCTTTGCAGTTACCATGCTGAATGAGGGATCTTCCTACATCACTATTTTTGATTGGGAGAAGAGAAGTGATTCTTCCATGTGTGAGAACCACCCACCCCAGAAAAATAGAGCAGGATGTCCAAATCAGGGTGAGATCCGCCTGCACTAACACAGAGCTACCACTGAGGACATGCTAAATCTCCAGTGGCAAGGCAAGTCCAAGCATAGTTCCCCTTTTAAATCCAAAGTATAATAGTATGAGCAAATGGGTATATAATCAAAACGTATCACAGTAGAGTGAACATGACCAAGACACCATGAACACTATCTAATCTCTTCTTACCATGCAGTGCTTCTGGAACATTTTGCAGTAAGCTCAGCACACATGTTTTTGCAACGACTGTTTCCCCCTCTGTTTGGAATTTTCCAAAATGATGTTTATGTGCAGAGTTTTTAATACCCAGAAAACTATCCAAGAAAACAACAAAATCTTCATGGCAATATTCTAGACACTATTTGAAATGCACAAGGAAACTTAAGTGGATAAGCAAACAAAGATTTTGAAGAAATTATCTAGGTACCAAAACGTAATTAAAAAGTATAATTCACTGTAGTTCAGAAGCAGACAGTGGGGCGGAGCAGTGGTGCTTACTTTACCACTCGGCAGTGAAGTCTCTGCTGCTGACCAGGAGGGAAATTGGGAAGGGCAAGGCAACAGGAAAATCAGTGCTGTGTATATGCCATAGTGGCTCTGCCAGTGCATTTGCACAGCGCTGACCTCCGTGTTGCCTTGCCCCTCCCACTCCTGGGGAGGCAGCATAGACTCTACTGCCAGGATATCAGGTAAGTGTGGCTTCCTTGGCTCCACCACCCACTATCCTATGAACAGTGATAACTCATCAGTGCACTAATTAGGATTTATACAATATGAAACGTGAAATCCTATCTTTGGATTTCACTGTCTGTCATGTCTTCTTTCTTTGCCAAATGGAGACGGGGTTTTTCCCAAATACTCAGAACATTTATTTTCTCACACACAAACCCACACATTTTCTTATCCTCACTCTTAAAATCTTAAATATACACAAAAGACTCCAAAAAGAAAGTAGGAAGGCTAGAGTACACAAATAAAATGCACCATCAGGATAATTTAACTTTTAAGACAAAAAAGGGATGATTCCTTGAAGGGGATAGTTACAAAAGGCTTATTGGGAAAGTTTTTCCTCTCTCATCACTATGTCCCTCTGACATAGTTATGGCTATAATCAATATACAAGGAAGATGTGACTACAACATTTCAATATCAACTTCTATAAATGGGGCACCCTTGAGAGCTACTGAAAACAACTTGTTTGTGGAATCAGCATGATGAAACCAGACAACATGCAGTCACTGAAGTCTCCCACAGAACCAAAAACATAAAACTGAATGAAAAGCCCTTTGTACATACACTGAACTAATTTCCATTTTTATTTTATTGTTCCTATTAACCTCTAAGGTGGTGTTAGTAGCTGCTTGAGAGCAGGTGCTCATTTAAATGGCTTCTTTTGCTGCAGTCTGGGGCCTATGATGGTCCACAGTAAGAAAGATTGCTATGGGCAACATCTGGCTACCCATGGCAACAGGTAGCCAAATTCCTGGGCTGCAATGCTGGAGAGCACAACAACTACAGCTACAAGGTGCTCATCTGGCTATGCCAAAAGCAAAACCTTGACTTTCTGATGCATTAAAGCTAACTGGAAGCTTTTGTGGTGACTTAATGAGTGAACGGGTGCTCACAAGCCTCAAAGCATTTTCAGTAACTTCTAAAATCCCCCTCTGTGCACTTTTTACCTGCGCTGCTCCATCCTCACACTGTTCCTATGGATTACTAGATGCCTGGTAACACTACTTCCCCTAAGAAGAAGTCACAGACCACGCCAGTCACAGGGTGTGGCTACTCTGAGTGTTGCTAAGCTGGAGGAGGAAGCCAGATGCAGAGTTGTGGGAGGAAGGATTAAATAGGTTTAAGTACATTGTTCTCATATTCAGATGCACTGGAGCCATTTAAGTAATAGCAGCTCTATTCTGAACTGCTGCTGATATACATGAAGGGAAATATTATCTGATCCTCTCATCGAAAGATGACAGGCGGAAAATTGAAGCACCTAAATTAGTCCTATGAAAAGCAGACTCCGGCGGAAAAGTAATTCCCCAAAGACATCCACTGACCAACCCGCTTCTACAGAACCCAGCAATTTCTGGTTCTGATCAGTCAGTAATCACACTGAGAGGTTGTGTGCATGCATATTTCTCTAAGCAAAGTTGACCCACCAAAAACTGTTTACTTTAGTGGGCTAGGGATTTCTCCTTAAAATAAGCATCTTATTATTTCATGTGCAAATTTTAAAGAGACTCAGTCGTAGTAAACTAGAAGAATCTGACACTCAGAGCAGGTGCCAGTTAAATCCAAAGAAGATCTGATTAGTTTCCTGGCTTCGAGCAATCTCTTCTATGATGCAGTGTTGCTGCCAGAGCAAGTGGAGTTTCCTGTACCTTTCATGACACAAATGCAGAGGATTGCCTCGCCTTTGGAAGAGAAACAAGAAGAATATACGCATTAGGGTTTGAGAAAACTGTAAGTGGCAAGTGCTTTTAACTTTGCTTTATTCTGACATATTTAGGTTGGTGTATGTACAACGTGTTAGCTACTAACAGTGAATAATCACAGTTAACTCGCAAAGAAATGCATTTATGGCTAGCCACCAGTCTCACCAAAGAACCTTTGCTAGCAACAAAAGCCTCTGTTGTTAAGCAGTTAAACAACAAGTTACTGGCATTGTAAATGCATGTTTATGTTGAAAAGGATAAGAACAGTCAGAAGGCATTCAAACAGTTACTTTAAAATACCAAGAGAAGGTTATTTGCCAGATTTTTGGCATCAGATAATTGTAGTAAAAAAGCATAATAAGATAACATAAAAAGCAGCAAAGGGAAATTTCCTAGGCAACAGAGCAAAGCATCTACTTACGCCAGATTTGGGTCTGTTTCTCCATATTCATCTAGATATGGTGCAGGATAGAAAGAGCCTCTGGTTTTCCCTCCTATTAAGATAACTTTGCAGTCCCTGATTCTAAAGCAGAAACAGTTATGTTAAAGAGAAAGTCTCCAAGATGGCAGTGGTCTCAGTACACCATTCACTTTGAAGAGTATGTAAACACAGTAAATAGTGTTGCCTATTTAAAGCCAAATATTTCCAACATAGCAGTATCCTTGGCAGTGACCAGAGGAGGAATGACCGCTGGTATGGGCACAGAGAGAACAAACACCATGGTGCATCTGCAGCAGCACAGTCTCTCCTGCATCGGTCTCTACAGACACAGCAGGCACTGCAACCTTCCAAAAGCTTGACTTGACCCCCAAAGGTGCACTCCTCCACTGTATCCTCTACTGTATCCTGAGACAGACAACAACAATTTCCAATATCCTTTTTGTATGCAGACTTTCTGGGAAGGTGAGAAAATGAACAAGCTACTCAACTCCCTGAATTCATATGTGTGAACGGTAGAATGCTGAGTTACTAGGACCAGATCAGGGTGCTGTATGGGTAATTATAGCACAAAAAACATTTCTGCCCTTAATGAGCAGCTCTGGGCTATAGTGTAAGGAATTAAAAAGAAACACGAGACCTCTGTAGTCAGCCCCATTTTATGATTTAGGTTAAGATGATCTGATCCTAAAGATAAAGAAATTCCCAAGTATCACAAGCTGTAGTATTTTAAATTGTATTATGGGAAATGAACAAGCTAAAACCAATGTTCATCTCTTCCTATCTATGTACAGTCTACCTTGGTTGTCAAATGCCTTGGTACTTGTACGTTTTGGCTCCCGGATGCCGAAAACCCGGACATAAGTGTTTCGGTTTTTGAACGTTCTTTGGAAGCCAACGACACAGCTTCCGCAACTTCTGATGGAGTGCAGGAAGCTCCTGCAGCCCATCAGAAGCCGCGCCTTGGTTTTCGAACGGTTCCCTGAACAGATTAAGTTCGACAACCAAGGTACGACTGTAATGTTCTTATAATAGTCTAAAAGAAAAATCGGCATGGCGTTTGGCACATCAATACCCCATCCTCCCGATTAATTTCAATGGGCTTGACACTCTACTCTGTTACCTACTTGAGAAAAATGCACACTCCAGCACCACAGTGGACAGCATGTGAAGTGCAGGCTCCCAGCTCCTCCCCATTCACCAGCTCCTGACAGCAGGTATTTTCAGAGCATAGCATAGCCCCACAGAACAAGCACAACACGGGGTGTTTGGTTTCATCATCAGAGGATCGAGGGCATCTGGAAAGGTAAAGTTAACTGGAGAATGACACTTGGAACCAAGAGGGAGATTAGAAAACAAAAATGTGAGAAGGACATTATTTGCCAAGACGGCTTGTGAACAAAAACCTGTTTCATTGCTAACTTTCATTTTATCAGGCCTTCTTTAGAAACTTGATGATAAAATATCCTTTTTTCTAATGGGATGCCTCCAGATGTAACCAGCTGATGTACAGAAAAAATAGCTAGAATAATTCTGAAACTAGCATGCCATTCAAATTAAAATAGAATTTTATGCTTCAAAGTTACTTCCAGGGTTCTGAATGCAGACTGAGGAGGCGTGGCTTAGGTTCAGATGGAATGCAAAACCATATATCGTTCTAATGTCTGAGCCCAATGGGAATGGAAGTTGTAATCATATTGTTGATTGTTTTTACACTGTACACCACCTAGAGATTTTAAATATATTAAGGGGCTTATAAATTATTTTAAATAAAATAAATAATTCACTTCAGAAATGTTGTGATGGGCAAGCGAGATTTCCAATGCACTTTGCAAATTCTGAACATGATAAAATAACAATATTGCACAAGTTTAACCATTTTATTAGTCAGTATGACCTGTTACTACTCCAGTGGTAATAATATCTCCTTATCCTAAAATGAAAATTGTATAATATACAGCTAAAAGGAATCAGTGCTTCCAAACCATTGGTTTTATACACAATTTCAGACAAATTTCTCCATATATACAAAATTTAAAGACCACTTTAGCTTTTATAAACTTAAACTGCAAGGGGGGAACCTGATATTTGAACCAAGTCCATTTACAACTTTTAATTTTTTTTGCAATACCATTTGCCCAATCAAATTGTGCTGCTTTTTCAATTTTTTTAAAAAAGGCTATATATGTCTACCCAGTACTTGTTTTCTAAAAAAATGTTTAGGGGTACTCTCGTTTTCCTACTCATATTGAAATACTGCCCCTCAATTATTAGTGTATTTGTGGTATTTGTGAAAGCCGCCCAGAGTGGCTGGGGAAACCCAGCCAGATGGGCAGGGTACAAATAATAAATTATTATTATTATTATCAATGAGGCTAAACTTAGATTTACAAAATGTTTAGGGGTATACGTATCCCTGCACCCACCCAGAAAAAAAGCACTGTGTCTACCTTAAAATTATTCTCTTGGCACAAATATGCAACATATCTTGATCGCTTAGACAGAACGCAGTTTTATGAAGAACAAATCCGTAAAAAGTCACAAAAGAAACTTCTAATTCTCACCTAAACTGAGAGCCTTTATTGAGAAGGCAACTGTAGTCTTCTGGAAGCTCTACCAATTTATTTCTTTTTCTTGGGTACCTAGTTAATTCAAGTAAGAAGAATTACGATACTCCAGGATACAAAAGCACATCAAAGAAACAGCTACCAAGTACTCTTCTGCTGAACTTTAAAACGTTCACATTTCATCCAAAATTTGCAATGGCAAATGACACAAAGACAGCTATGATCTCTGCAGTAGGAGCTTGCAAGTGATAGTTATACATTAGAACCTTGCTATAGGGAATTCAGCCTATGAGTAAGCAGTCTAGGGAAATTATATTGCAGAGGACAGGCTAGGATTAGCACTCTGGTTCACTGTGTGTTCTGTTTGACCTGCTGCTTGCTTTCCCCTTTATTTCTAATAAAAGTTTCACAATTGGGCTGGTTGGATCAGTGTGTGACTGCCACGTGCCTAGATCACTTTGGGTCAAATGCTATTAGAAGCGTAGGGCCAGAGTGGTAAAGCCAGGAATTTGCCATATTCCCAAGGAGAAACAGAAGGCTAGAAAGCAGGCGTTACGCTCTGCGTAACTGCAAGAAATTGGCTGGAGGCACAAGGCATACTGGTGCAAGCTTTAAGTTCACTGGGTGTTCCACGTTTTCCCCTTGTTTCTAGGGCTGTACATGACTTAAAAACAGGGTGGTGGCAGCAACTACCAGATAACAAGAACCAACTGGCAGCACTGCAGGGATGTTGTGCAGCTGCTGGGCAAGGAAGGTGGTGTGAAAGGCTGTCCTGAGCACCCACCTTCTCCACACAATGCAGCTGGCAACATGTGCACTACTGTTCTTATCAGAACAGAAATATTGTGAGAGTTTGGTTAGCTACTCTCCTGACATTTCTGTATTTACCCAAGAGCAGATGTTTGGGGGAGCAATATATCTAAAAGCAAAGGAGCACTGATGAAAACACACTGCTAAATATTAAAATACAACCAAGACTGCTGTTTCAGGAAAAAAGAAGAAGTAAAACTGACCTTATTCCAATACTTTTCCCCTTCAGAAAGCTGAGTACAGCAGGATCCGCACACCACCTGCATGTGAAATTCTCCATCAGGACAATAATATATTGTAGTACTGTCCATCACTAGCTTGGTCCCCAAAACTACCAGTTAAATTGGTGTTTTGCTACACTTACTCATAACTGGAGTCATTCCCTCTCCTGCCCTGAAGTGGTGTATAAATCCTGTCACAGATTAGAAGTGTGCATGCACACAAAAGCTTATACCAAGAACAAACTTAGTTGGTCTCTAAGGTGCTACTGGACAATTTTTTTATTTTCTTATATATTCCAACTTTGATTTTCAGTTTGGCACACTGGATGCCCACAAAGATTTTGGGTCGGTATGACTGGCCAGCAACCCCCAAAAGGTGTTTGCTTTTCCTAAGGCCATAAACAAAGGCAGAACCATCTCCCTTGATACAAAGGTGCTCAGATAACTAATGAGAACCAGGAACATAATTTTAGAAAACTAAGTTTTGATAATATAATATAATATAATATAATATAATATAATATCATATCATATCATATCATATCATATCATATCATATCATATCATATCATATCTCATATTTAACACAGTTAAGTAAGCTGAAATATGTTAGGCTGCCTGTATTCAGGTTATGCCTGTTCTACCCCGAAAGACACATCAACACACTCTGCATCCTCACAGCCCATCCCCATCACATTTCTGGGTCTGCCCTTTAACCCCAGTGCAACTTTGCAAACTTGTTCCAAGTCTTCTGGATCAACAGACACCTTCATATGGCTTACCTATGGTCACAACGCACAGTGGCCTAAGTTGTGCAATGATGGTGGCTAAATGATCCCACTTTGAGGCAGGGGGTTAGATTAGATCAGCCTTTGCCAACTTGGTTCCCCACTGGACATCCTGAACTATAACTCCCACCACCCCTAGCCAACTGTGAGGGCCAAGACTGGTGGGAATTGTAGTCCAAGACATCCAGAGGGCACCAAGTTGGCAAAGGCTAGACTCAATTCCACTGCACTCTATGGTTCCCAGCCCACTCTTTCTCACCCAGCCAACAGTTTCTGGATGTTGGGACAATCATATGCTCTATGTGAGAACCTGAAAAAACACGCAGATTTTTCTCTCAACAGCAGTCATACCTCTGGAGCAAGGGCTCTATAGTATCCCAATATTCTTGGAAAAGCAAGAACAGATTGGTGGGTAGAGACAAGTATCCACAAAGAGCCTTGAATTGGCCTTCTTCTGAAACTGCAAAGGAAAAAGATGTTAGACGTACCTTCAAGTGCAGCAACTAACATAAAAAAACATTTTTTTCTGTTAAAAGTGAATACTCGGTGCAGATTTAGAAAGTAAAAATGTATCAGATGAAGACAATTGACTGTTTGGAATGACAGCCAGGAACTACTTTGGATAAGACTCTTGCTGCTGTGGAGGGAATGTCCGTAGTCACACTGAAAGCTGTCAGTTATTTTTCTCCATAAGTCAATGTGAACTGTTGTTGTGAATGCTGATGTGCCCGTTATGGAAGAGCAGATTTAGACTGAAGGTCTGGGAAGAAAGCACTTCGTATGAGAGAGGCAGTGGGAGTGTGGCCAGGACAATCTTGTACCACTGGGGTTAAAGGTATTGCAGTCCAGAGCATTTAAGGCTTTATAGGTCAACATCAACATTTTTAATTGGGCCTGGAAACTAACTGGCAGTCAGGATTGGTGTTGTATGCTCAGTCTTGCCCCGGTGAGCAATGCTAAACTAGAGATAATTTATGGAGAAGGATTTTTTAATATATATCAAAAAAACTTTTTGAAAACCATTTTGTAGTGGTTGATACTGTTCAGCACATTTTTAATCTGGCGTTACCTTGGCATGCTGAGATTACCATGCTCTGCTACTTACCCGATGAAAGTTCTTCTGGTGGAGGCACTCCCAGCAAATAGTGGAAAAACAAAGCAGCACAACGGAGGTAGGGCATGATGCCCTTCTTAATGCAATCCCACAAATACCAGCCTGCAACTGTTTGGCTATAACAACTGCAATAAAGATTTGAATATGTGTATTTAGTATCTTAGGTTGTCAACAACATTTAATTTATTCATTAAAATTCTATCCCGCACTTCCTCCCAAAGGAGTGCAGGGTGGCAACTAAGCAGAAAAACAATACAATTAAAAACCAAGTTGAAAACATTAAGTACATCTAAAAACATAGAAAAAGAATCACATATTCTTCCTAACTAATGTTTTCAAGGTTGCCAGGCAAGCATCTTTCAGCTATCAATTGCCTGGAATATTTTTAAATCCCCTCTGAATGTTACTACCAAAGGAGACAGACACACCGCACCATGGAGGGAGAACCACAAATTCCACAAATGGAGAGCCACCACCAAGGAGGTCTTGCCATGGGTCAGGTTTTAAAACATGATATAAATTCCTGACTAATTAAATATAAATGATTTAATGGTGAAGATTAAAAAGCTCCCTCACTGAAAGAGAGATACTTTTTAAGCTGCTTTTTAATAAAATACCAATATTTCCGTCACACACAAATGTATATATACACACTTGAATGCTTTGCAGAGAAGTGATTACAGCACACTTCTAATCCTCCCCACTTCTTCAAACCTCTGTGGTTCGAAGGAGAAATGGGATGGTAGTCTGAAAGCCATTTGTAAACATCCCTGCTCAATGTTGTTTACAAGGTACTGTTTGAAAACCTGAAGTTCAACAATCAGGTGACTGACAGGTGAGTGGCCCAGCCTGCCTGTCAACTTTGGCCCATCAAGGGTGGGGAAGGTAAAGATCAGGTCCTCTTGCCAGAAAGGTTTCTCTACCCCTGCCCAAGAGCTTGAAGGCAGTTTTTAAAAAATGTAGAAGTAAAAAACTGTTACAGGAACTTTGCACATAGTATTACAACTATGTCAGATTCTGATTTGATAATCAACCTTTCTCCCTTCTTTCCTGGGGAATGTGAAACATCAGTACAGTAAGGCAGCAATGCTACTCCATAAGAAAGAAAGAAACCCCAAATCGTATTAGGGCAATACTTTTATTAAGCCAATGAAAAATGTTACAAAATGTGTGCAAGCTTTTGAATTCTCCATGACACTTCATCAGGCTAGAACTACAACTACAACTCATGACTATTGGCTATGATGGCTAGGAATGATGGGAGTTGTAGTCCAACAACATCTAGGCACCTGAAGTTGAGAAAAGCTGGTCTAGATTATAAACAAAGCAAGGTTTGGGGATGGGAGTGGGATACTTGGCTGGTGGTGAATGTATTGTGTCTTTCAGAAGCCTTAGGTGCAACTTCAAACCTGCACAACCTCTCACAACCTCACTGGAATACTTGATACTTCCCTCCCATATTCCATTTTAAGACTCTGTCCAGACGCAGACTCCATTGTTTCACAACCAGCCACATTTTAAACTCCCCCCCCCCAAGCTTTGTTTACCATCTACCCTAGTGAAGAGTTCTAGAGAACCTTAAAGCTGGCACACTATTTTGTGACATTTTGTTTGTCCTAATAAAGGAGCTGGATTCAACACAATGCACTCCTTATCCATCAAAACGTTTCAGAGAAGCTACTTACCCACTTGTGTACCTGCAAATTTCTTTACAGAAAGAATCAGCTGCTCGTGCTTCCTCACTGTCATGCTGTACTTGTGCAGACAGGCACTCTGTGCAAAAAATAATTTTAAAAATACTTGGTCTTTTCCCTTAATAGTATTTACAAATTTTCGTGTACTTTTTCTCTTTTATAACAATCCACTCTTTTTATATTATTGTTCACTTATTTATGTAATGCCATTAATGTGCATGGGAGAAACAGCATGTCCCAAGTCACTTCTAAATCCTGGACAAGCATAGAAGTGGACTATAATTTGCCTCAACTCCACAATGCCAGGCCAGGGGGGAAATTAACCTTAAAGTCCAGAAGATATCCATGCAAATCAAAAGGTAGGCTGGAACTTGTAGTCACCGCCTTGATAATACTGTTGGGGCGATGTCCTGATGCTGCTGACTAGAGTGAAACACAGAGTGGCAGCGGTGTAGGCATGGGCTGATTTTGTTGGAACAACACGCTTACCAACTTCGCATTCAGCTTGCGGACATCTAACACACAAAAGTAGGTAGATGGAGTAGCTTTCACACTGTCTCTTTTCAGGCCCTTTATTTAATCACTACTTTACCAGAAATACCCAGTTAAAATTATGGAACCAAGCAAGTGGAGTTTTAGAGATATAAGACCCAGTCTTCTAAATCACAATGGTTAAACTCAGACTATAAACAAGAGGAAAAGTTCCGTATGAAAAAAGAGGAACTTTAAAAGCACGAATATACACATGTGCAATGACAGATGGGAAATCAAAAGCTGCATTCTGTTTCCCTTATTTAGGCACATATCTTTTCAGCATGAAGTTCACCAGTATGGGAGTTTCCAGCAAGTTGTTGACACTCTTATACAGCTGCCCTAGTCAATGAACACAGTAGCTGCTCTAAACAGATACAATGTAAACCAGGGGCCAATGGTCCGGTTCACACATCCCTTTGTAACATGGTTAAGGTTAACTATGGTTTCAAGATAAACATGCAGCATGCTACGGCATGGAGCAAAACCTGTGGCTGGTTTGAGCCTCCATCACTCCTGCCATGCTGCAAGGCTTAGCTTAGCATTACATTCAAATCCAGGCTCATGGTTTGTGTCTGTCCAAGCAAGCCAAAAACTATAACCAAGGTTTCTTTTTGGCTTACTGGGCCTGATTTGTTTGGAGAGACACAAATCATCAGTCCAGGGATAGCACCTATATGCTCCACACAGTTGCTAGGGATAGGAAAGAGTTAGGTGTGTGCAACCATGCTTGGATTTCGTAGCTGGATGGAGGCAAGGGATAATTTTAAGACCCATTAAGGAAATTTCTACTGTCGGCAGATCTTTTTCCTTGCCACTTAGATCTTGAATGTCAGCAAGTGAACACTCTACCTTACAAATATGTGGAACTATTTCTGAGAACTGGAAGGCATAAAAGCCTCCTGCCAAAACATCTAAAAGTACTTTATTATGTTATCTAGAAAAACCTAAACACAAAAGATACCATTACCTGTAGTTGTAGTGAGAATAATTTGGGTTATGTGTGCCATAGTGACCAAGTGGAAGAGGTAGAGATTGTTACAGGCAGAGCTGATGGATGAAGGTTGTAAGTCCACAGTATCCTCCCAATACAAAGATGGAAATGATAACACAGCACCAACCTAAAAAGGAAATAAGACACTGATAGGCCTGGCACTCATCACAAATTAAACTGTCCATTTGCAGGGGCATTTTTTACATGGCAGACTCAAGGCTTAGGAAACAAACACAAGTCAAATCCAAAATGAATCAAAGGCACTCTCAAGGTAATTCCCACAAAGGACTGCCCACCCCCCAGGAACTGTTACAGACATGACTCCAGACTGTACAAGCCATGGAACTGATATCTGCACACAGTCTCAAACTTTAAGAGCATCATCGCCAAGAGAATCCTACACACACTTACCAAAACATGAAACAGATCCACGTCTAGAAGGGATGGTGTGTCTTCCGCTTTTAAGCTGGGCAGAAGAACTACAAGAGCAAAATATATATTAAATGGAAATTCTGACTGTCTGCTTTCAACAAAACAGATTGCAAAGAAAGGGTTTGCAATGATGTAAGATTCCCTGCCACCCCCCATTGTCAATTCTTGTTTCTTCAAGCTTACTAGGCGAAAAATAAAAACCCATAAAAGCTTATGTCTCTTATCTGAATTATGTTACTGTTTCAGAGACTGAATCTTTCCAAGAAGACTTTGCTTATTTCCAAAACTTATAATGGGGGTAAAAAAACAACCATGTTACCTCCTAGAAGACGTACAAGATGTTGCTGGATCAGGCTTTGTGGCAATGTAATCCTCTGAGCAACTGCAAACTGCAGCAATGCTTTAAGACCACTGTGCTAGAGGGTGAGGAGATAAAGGAGAAAGGTTTGGTTAGACGAGGGCTGTGCTTCCCCATCCCTATTCTCTAAAAATATTTGTGTTCTAGTGGCTGGAGATAGCAGCCAGGACCTGGGCTCCTTACAGGCAGAAAGGAAGGAAAAAGGCAAGTAAAGAAGATGGCATTTGGATTGCAAACTCCTGCATAGCAATTAACAAATGCCAAAAGAAACGTCAGTTGGAAAATTATACATGACATAGCCTGAGCAACTACTTAAGGAATGGTCCAGTGGTTACATAGACCTGATCCCCCCTCCCGCACACCCCGCCCCTGCCAATCACCTGGAACAGAATCCTTAGCCCAGAGTTTTCAAACTTACTTGTTTTGTTTAATTGGGTCGCTAGGCCGACTGTTGACTTGAGATAATCAAAGTTCAAAGCCTTGCTGAGTACATGAATAAGACAATACATCAGGCAATATCCAATGTCAAGCCAGCAAATGTGAGGGAGTCCCCCTTTCTCTCCTTTTCTGAAGTCCCCTGAGCACCCCCCAAAAATACCCTGCTCCATGTGGTTAAGGCAGCATTTGAGAGGAAGGGGAAATCCTACTGCACAAGCCAAAGTCCACTGTGCCAGCAGGATACCACTGGATGCCACTCATAGGTTCCCCAGCACTGGAACCGAAGTATTCCTTAATTTTTTTGTCTGAACTTTCTACTTGTGGTACAGTGATAATAAAGTATTTCTATATTTCTATAAAACACACTCATTAAACACAAGAGTCCTACCCTGCACCACCCCTACATTTGGAAGAGTGTTATGTGAATAACTAGTTTATGAAAGAAGTGTAATAACTGTAGTTTGCTGTGCTCAATAGTCTACCTACAGCAGCACATTAGGACCTTACCACATGGCAACACGAGAACAGGGCCTTCTCTGCAGTGGCTCCGTGTCTGTGGAATGCTCTCCCCAGGGAAGTTCGCCTGGCGCCTGCATTGTACATCTTTAGGCGCCACACAAAAACGTTCCTTTTTAACCAGGCCTTTGGTTGACCTGATGGACACCCTATACCCTTTTAAAATGTGGCTCTTTTTGGGGGGGCATGTTATTGGGTTATTGTTCTTGCTCTGATTTTATATATTTTCTGTGAACCACACTGAGACCTCTGGGTATGGGGCAGTATATAAATTCAATAAAGAAATCAATTAAATAAATAACTGATGTGGGACGCGGGTGGCGCTGTGAGTTAAACCACAGAGCCTAGGACTTGCCGATCAGAAGGTCGGCGGTTCGAATCCCCGTAACGGGGTGAGCTCCTGTTGCCTCGGTCCCTGCTCCTGCCAACCTAGCAGTTAGAAAGCATGTCAAAGTGCAAGTAGATAAATAGGTACCACTCCGGCGGGAAGGTAAACGGCGTTTCCATGCACTGCTCTGTGCCAGAAGCAGCTTAGTCATGCTGGCCACATGACCGGGAAGCTGTACGCCAGCTCCCTCGGCCAATAAAGCGAGATGAGCGCCACAACCCTAGAGTCGGTCACGACTGGACCTAGTGGTCAGGGGTCCCTTTACCTTTACCTACAATTACATCCTTTATTGTTCCTACCTGACGGTTTTGCAGAGAACCAAATAAAGGCTTGCCCTCATCTTCTAGAAGATTCTCTGAAAAAGAAACAAAGCTGTTAGTGAGTCATGTACTCTACAAGCAGTCAAAATGTTTTGCATTTCAGTTTTCCAATAAGTTAAGGAACCTGCTTGTTTTGGCTTTCAATCTCTTTTTACTGTTTTTTACAATCTCTTTTTTACAATCTCTTTTTACTCTTTTACTGTTTACTCTTACTGTTCATTTTAATTAACATTTTATCTATGGAAAGAGGTAACAAACTGGAGCAATGTCTTTGAATGAAATATCTAATTTTTACTATTTCAGGGAACACACACACACACACACATCTGTATGCTTGCTTCCAAGTCTGAACACAGTGTTCATATCAATTCTAGCGCAAATAAAATATAGGCTACTGTGCCATTTTGCAGTCTGTGGGAATTGAGCATTCCCAACTAAAATAGATTTTGAAGTGACTTGTTAAGTAGTCAAATGTCCATAGCATTAGTCAAATAAGTACAAGAAGCAGATCTTGAAAACACTTCCTCAAATTCAAACAAAGCATTCCAAACTTTTGCCATTTTGCCATTTATTTTAAATTTTAAATGGGATAGCTTGATAACGGGGACTGTAAAAGTCTCATTTTTGTACGGTATTTGTACATGTTATATAGGATTGGCCCTATAACAGTATTTTAGAAACTGCGTTGTAGTAGCTTTCTTATATTTTCAAGTTTAAATCCCTGGCTATTTTCATGTCTAATATAATAAAAGCTGAAATCCAATTGTGAAAGGAATTCTATTTTTGATTTACCTAAACACTGGATAGTAAACGCACATGTGCTCCAAGTCATCATAGGAATGCGTGGATCAGTTTCATTGGGTGCAACTTTTAATCCAATTCTGTAAATTGCAGTGGCAAATAGAACCACCATCTCCTTGATACTATTAGAATACTTAACTCTGTGGAGGAAGCCAGGAGAATGTCAGATTGTGAATAAGTGAGGCTAGATAAAGTTCAAAGAACTGATTATGAGAATATTTGCACAGTTGCATTTAAATCATCAGTTCCTGGTAACAGGAAATCATTTTTCAGCTTTTGCTCGTTATTATATACTTCTCTTAGGTAAAAAACACAAGCTTTCAAGTTATATTCTGAGATAACGATGACCAATAATTAGATAAAACTCTGGCAGAGGTCTGCTTGATCAGAGATAATAATCATAATGGCCCATATAAATGTTGTAGAATGTAGATACTTTAATGAAAATATTATTTTCCCCTAAGCAGAAAATAATGTCCACTGTATAGTTTCCAGATTTATTTATTTTTAAAAAATAGTCTAAAGTGGAAATGTGATTCTTAACACTTACAAAGGATCTACTCCAAAGCTAAGAATGGAATGGAAATCAGATGAAGTCTCTTCCATTTCTATGTCACGTAAAGATGGAGCAATCTGTTTTCCTTCTTTTAAAAAGAGAAATAAATTCATGTCAGACTGCAGTTCAACTAAATGAAATAAAATTATTTCTTTTCTCTTATATACTTAAAAACATAAAGCTGTTGTCACGGTGCAGTTCATGTAGCCACCCTGTGTGTTGACAGGGCGGCAGGCAGCCGAGGCAAGCTGTTTAACAGAGGGGAGGCGACGCTTCACAGTGCGGTTTGGCAAAGTGCTCTCTGAAGTGCCTCTCCCCTCCTTTAAAAGGGGCAGGATGTTGGGTCAAGCCATGAGGAGAGAGGGAGGGGCCTGGGGCAAGCCTGGAGGGAGTGGAGCTTGGGATGAGCTGTGAGGAGAAGGAATGGGGTGAGCTAAGCAGGGATGGGCAAGGAGATGTGTGAGGTATAAAGAGAGGGGGAGAGTTGGTCAGGTATAAAGGGAGGAGAGGTTTGGAAAGGGGTTGGCAGGCAGAGCAAGCAGGGGCAGCAGTCCTTACTATGGTAAAAATTCTTAGATCATGAATGATAGATTGGGGTCAGCAAACTTTTTCAGCAGGGGGTTGGTCCACTATCCCTCAGACCTTGTGGGGGGCCGGACTATTTTTTTTGGAGGGGGGGGAATGAACAAATTCCTATGCCCCACAAATAACCCAGAGATGCATTTTAAATAAAAGGACACATTCTACTCATGTAAAAACACGCTGATTCCCGGACCATCCCGGGGCCGGATTTAGAAGGTGGTTGGGCCGGATCCGGCCCCCAGGCCGTAGTTTGCCTACCCATGGATTAAGACATAATAATTCTTACATAACAACCTATTAGATGTCATTAGGTGGTAAGTGCTATGTGCAGCTGACTCTATTTATATGCAAATGGATTAATCTTTGAATATCAATTTTCAGTCTAAGTCTGTGAGCTTCATTTGCAGAACAGTAAAAAAGCTAATAGAACACAATATAAGAAAAATGGAGCCTATATCTTAAATGACTTCATGATTAGTATATACCTAAATAAAAATTCAATAAAAGTCTGCTATCCAGCAACACAAAACAATGGAATTATAAGCCCTTCAATTTGCATTCATAACTTTCCACACTCTGTTAGAGATGCACGACTTTAGAAGATATTTCAATCACTTATTTTTAGGGCAGACAATAGGATTGCAATGATCCTCAAAATGGTACCTGTAACCAATAGCAAAATAAAGTGTTTTATAATGATTTGGCAACCTCCTAAAAACATTTTGAAAATGTTAAGTGTAGCATATACAGACCTTCAGTGTTTTTCTTGTTGTAACCAGATATCCTGGCCATAACAATCTCTATCCATTTTTTCAAAGATAGAAGCTGAACCACCACCTCGGCATCCTCACTGACAATACAAAAAGGTAGTTGTAGTTTTCACAAGTACAGCAAAAAATATAACCCCTGGAGCCCAGTCTGAGATGCTCGTGTCTTATACAAGAGAATTTAAACAGCTATTTAGTTGTTTAGTTCATATGTGAATAACTTCATTTTATAAAACTTCTTCTAGACACTCAAAATTGATGGGTAAATAAAATAACAGAATGGGCCTTTTCTGTGGTGGCTCCTCACTTGTGGAATGCTCTGCCAGGGAGGCTCCCCTGGTGCCTTCATTACAATGCCAGGCAAAAACATTCCTCTTCTCACAGGCCTTTGGCTATTTAAACAATTTATGGCCTTTTAAACTGCAGGGGAGGGTACTGTTTTTGCTTGTTACTATGCTATGCATTTTTGTGTTTTTATATTGTAAACTTCCTTGTGATCCTCAGTTGAAGGGTGGTATAGAAATGTAATTCGTCATCACCTTCATCATCGTCATGTATTTTCCCCATACATGCAACGAGAAAACTGCTATCAGACTAAAATTGACATCCAGTGCCTTTAAAAATGTGTTGGGTATGTGTGTGTGTGTGATTAGGTTCCTTTTGTTTTTCTTTTGATTATGTTTTTTTGTGTTTTTATATTTTGATTTTACCCTGTGAAATGCCCTGAGACCTGCAGGTATAGAGCGGTATACAAAATTAATTAATGGGCTATTTAAATGTTTAAACTTACCTGTTTATCTTGTGTGTTTGCAAAGGAAGAATGGGTATCACAGTGTTGCACAGAGATTTGCAAAGTGGGCAGAGGTACTCTCCATTCTCCAAGTCAAAAACTTGTTCGACATGGTGTCGCTGCCGAGAGTTTAACTGTATGGCTTCAAAGTACCTGCAATATTGAAACAGACAACCAGAAGATAGTCTTTAGTGTTGAGTGTTAACAAGGAAAAGCAGAGTTATGATACCCTTTGTTGTTACGCACTTGGCTTACTGTTATATGGTAACTTTGTTTTTGAGCATAAAGAGAAAAAGAGGGACAATGATCAGAACTTTGCACCCGTCATACAAAACTTTGTACCATGTAAATGAGCTATCGGATATTGTGGGAGATAACAAGAAGTAGAGTGCAGTGAGTGAACTCAGGATCAAGCCCCAACAGGCAGTTCAGGAAGCAGAATTTCAAGAGCTCCAGGTTAATGTGATATCCCCAGCCTGGTGCCCTCCAGATATTTTGGACCACAACTCTTATCAGCCACAGGCAAAACAGCCAAAATTTTTGTCCATATTTGCCTTTTGATCACACTTATGCTAGCCTGGTTTCATTTATTTTGCTGAGATACTTGAATCTGTTGGACATTAAATATGTCTTGAGATATGCTGGAAGAGATAGTTTCAAAATTTACGATAACTAAAGCAAAAAAAAAAAAAGTTTACTAAATGTATCTAATAAATGTGGTCTACTTACTTCTGCCAGCAGGCAGCATGCATCACATGACCACAACTTCCTGTATGAGTTCCACATGACAAGTCAGGATCCATGAAAAGAGGATCTATTTTATCTATTGAAGAAAAAATGATATGAAGGATGATTACATCATTTAGTGTCAAATGAAAGATTTTGCAAAGACTATTCAAGCAAAAATTTTGCCAGAGAAGCATCTTTTAATTCTTGTACATCTTATACAGTACTCACTGAAGAAATAATTATTGATTTTCTTTATTAACACCAACTAAGAAACCGACCATCAAATGAGATTTTGAGCTTTGCTCATACATTCAATATAGTTCAGGTATGGGCGATTTTTCTTTCAATTAGAAGGGATAAAACAGTTGATTTCTCAGCTTGAGGTGGCTTCTAAAACTATTCACATCAATGTTTCGTAACATGACTTTCAGTTCTGTAACTTGAGCTAACAAAAGGAAACCTGAAGCAATATTACTGCTTATGCAAGCAGATGACTTGAAGAGAGGATACATACCCCCAGAAAGTTCAAGCATTTTCCCTCTATGTTGGGTTAAGGCAGTGGATCTCTGGACACAGGCAGATAAAACCATGGCAGCACACTCTAACCTCACTTCCTGCTCTTCCTGACACAGAATACATGTCAGCACTTCCTTTTCTGCAACAGATGGCCCTTGCTTGGGTCCCAAGGCAATTCTGGTATAATCTATAATTGGTGGGCTGTTATAAAGACACAACAAAAGTCAAACTAACATATTCCTGTCAGCAAACAATTATTTGCGATTTACATTTAAATAAAATCACATACGATTTAAAATTTATACATTAATATTGTAGTTTTACCTCATCCTCCAGAGAAAAACAGGACTGCAACCAATATTTAGCCACATGCTGAATAGATGTTGATTATATCCCAACACCACGAGAGCCAATAAAACTGTCCAATGACTTCTAATTTTGTACTATTTTATATTATCAAAAGCTACTCCAAAATCTATTTTTATTTTCCTACCTCTCCTCTTCCATAACATCCCTTCCCTGTGTTTCTTGAGTATTTTCATATAAGAGCTTGTGAGTTTCAATGAAGTTCTTCTGCAAAGCAGACATCTGGGCCATGATCTTCTGGCGATGAAGTCTGGCTGCTTCGGCCTTTCTCTTCCTCTCGGCCTTTTCCTTGTCCTGAGTTCTTTGCATCTTATTTAGCGGCAAAGCAAAAAACAAACAAACAAAAACACCCAGGCAACCTCATTATTAACAAAAAAGATAACTGGAATAAATCTTTAAAATAGAATCACTTTTCAATAATGTAACAATGGCGTTTGCTTAGCACTTGTGAAACTCCGCTTAACAAAAAATAATGTGACACTACTCCACCTCCATATCCCAAGCCTCTCACAGCTAACCTGTGAACAGACTCTGTCCCCAAAAGGTAATGAGAATTTCTTATCAGTGCAACGCTGTACAGGGCTAATAATAGGTTTCAGACACAGGCACCATAATGCTGCCCTTCATCTTAAACCTAAAGTTCCAGTGTCTACAGATTGTTCTGAGGGCAAGATAGATTACAACTTCACGTACAACGGAGTTGTGGCTGGGACCACTAAGAACAGCTTCCTAGAGAGAATAGCCTCCAGAGAGATTGGTTACAGAGGGTTCTGCCAGCAAGGAATATCGGGGGAAGAAAAAAAATCAAGGAGCCAGGAAGTTCGCCATTCCAAATCAGTTCCCACTTGTAAAATATATAATTTTGTTAATCAGAATGGAATATTTAACCTTGCATTTAAAAGCATGGAGCTGTGAGCCCAGGGGCTAGAATTCCGAATGTAGAAACAGCCAAATCTTCTTGTGAATACATTATTTCTTTCCTATTTTATAGTTACCTCATTGGCTTTTGCAGATTCTGGCCCAGACGCAACGGCAGCTGTGGGAAAAGATGACTTCTCTCTCAGCCGTTTTATTGTGTCAAACATCTGGGAACAGAGATTTAATAGTTACAATACTAATAGACTGTGATATTTCTATATTTCCAAGCCACATTATGGTTTGACCATGAAAGAAAGCATGCTGGACAAGATATACCCCATTAGCAGCAGCACCAGTATTAAGCACAATCAATACCATTTGTTACCATCTTTACGTTTGGAAAAGAATACCTTTATTCACTTTTCTCTATTCAGTCTCCAAAGAATACAGGTAATAATGGTGTGTACAAATGGAGCTGCTCAGTGTACAAAAAAGTATACAAAGTTATAAAATGGCTTTAACAATTATGTACTTTTTTGTATAGGCTATTCAAAAATGTCTGTGGTATTTATTGCCTGTGGTATTTATTATTAATGTATACTGTTTATATAATAAAAAAATCTAAAGCATTTACATAAAAACAATAAAAATGCAATGTGCATTAAAATTTCCTGAAAACAAAACAAACAAACAAACAGTATGTCACAAATAAAACTAAGCAGTACACAAAACAAAAAAATTAAAAAATAAGAGTCACAGTCCAGGAAAGCTTTGGTAAATATGTAGGTAAAGATAATGGTAAAGGACCCCTGGATGGTTAAGTCCAGTCAAAGGCGACTATGGGGTTGCAGTGCTCATCTCACTTCAGGCCAAGGGAGCAGGCGTTAGTCCACAGACAGCTTTCCAGGTTATGTGGCCAGCATGACTGAACTGCTTCTGGCACAACAGGACACCGTGACAGAGGCCAGAGTGCACGGAAACATCGTTTACCTTCCCTCCACAGTGGTACCTATTTATCTACTTGCACTGGTATGCTTTCAAACTGCTAGGTTGGCAGGAGCTGGGACAGAGCAACGGGAGCTCACCCCGTCACGGGGATTCAAACCACTGATCGGCAACTGATCGGCAAGCCCAAGAGGCTCAGTGATTTAGACCACAGCGCCACCTGCTTACAAATATGTAAGCTTATGAGACACTTAAAAGTTATTACGAACACTGCCTCATAAATTATCCAAGGGAGCACATTCTGGAGGCTGTGTACTATCACCAAGAAGGCTCATTTCTGCATTTCTACCAAGTGACAACCGCTGGTTGTGGAACAACCAGTAGAGTCTTCTCGGAAGATCCTAAAGATTGCGAGAGGCGGTCTGCTGAGTATCCTGGTTGTAAGTCATTAAGGACTTTAAATATCAGCAACAAAACATTCATAGTAGTCCATGGTTGTGGCAAAGCAGGAACCAGGTCATCTCAAATCTGCTGTATTTACAGGGGATCATGTTTTGTCACACAATCCTTTACACGAGGAACAGATCGTTCGTTTCATATAGCCTTTCGAAAAGCCAATAAAGAGCAACATTTCAGTAGCAACTGTTGCATATCTCATTTGAACCAGAACAGAGATACTGTCTTATTCCCCTAAGCTAGTTTTTGTTAAAATCCCCCCTCCCACCAACCAGTTCTATCACATGGGTAAACAAGCATTAATTCATTATGAGTTTTCTGCAAAAAACAATGATAGTAAGAACATTATCTGTAGATGCTATCTTTTAAAGAGATTACTTTATGCACCAGCAACATTCTGTGGAGTAAATGTGTCAAGTTCTTTTTTTTTTAATTTAACACGGGACATTTTGGGGTTGTTTTTTTTACCTGTAATACCCAGTTGATCATGTCTTTTTGCGATTCCAAAGGTTGAATTCCTTTTAGTTTTTCCAAAATCATTAGTATGTTCATTGCATTCAAAGCAGAGCTTCCCATTCCTTTGCAAACAGATGGAAGAATTTTTTAAAAAAAAAAACCATACACGTTCTCTCGTAAAAGATCATGATTTCTCCCTTTTACTTAATCATTACAATGACTTAAAAGACTAGACATGGGATATTTTATTGTTACAACACCTCCTTATATCACAGATGATGCATGACTTCTTTGTCAATTATCGCTTTTCACTACCTTACAAAATGATGGTGGTAACAAGCTACAAACAAAGCAGCATCAATGCATTGTGTTTGGTTCTATGTTTCATTATTTCTTATCAAATGTAACATAATCCAAATGTTTGACTATGCATCTTCAGATGAAGGGCGGTATATAAATTTAATAAATAATAATTTCCATTATAGCATGCAGGTAATAACTGCAAGCAATTAGTTTACATTGTAGTTGTAGTTCTTTTGAACAAGTATTCACCATCAAATGAAATTCAGCACAAGCTGGTATCTCAAGGGGCGGCTACAGATTAAACCTGGTAAGATATATTTTCCCTGCATTAATGTAGTATCTGTGGACAAAGTAAGACTGAATAATTTTCTCCTTCCTTGTTTTAAAATGGTGTTTATTTCAAAATATTTCTCTAAGTAAGCATTTTTCTGCTGGAAATAAACTCTTGGTGGCTTTTCATATCTAAGATCAAGGGGTAGTAATTCTGCTTCAAATGCCTGTCGGTGAGTTCACATTGCACTTCAGAAATAACTTTAAAATTAAGATTCGTGTTTTACAAGATGGCACACTTACTTGATGCTTTGTGGTAGAAGTCAAAGGCCACTTCTTCCTCTGGAACCTTCTCTAACTGCTGCTTTTCTTCAAGTAGACCCAAAGCAAGAAGGTGAAGAACCTAGAGAAATGTAAACAAGTACTAAACCTAGGCTGCTTAGAATGAAACACCCTCTGGTTAGCATAGGGCTGGGGACCATTTTTCAGCCCAAATGGTCACATTCCCTTCTAGGCAACCTTTCCAGGGGCCACTTGCCAGCAGTGGGCAGGGCCAGAAGCAAAATTGGGTGGAACAACAAATGCTAATTTATTCACATATCTCTCTCCATCCAGGCAGGCAAGTAGCATGATGAGCTTGAAGACACATTCTAAGCAGGCAAAACCCCAAGAGGAGGGTGTGGAATAGGGTGGAGAGGGGTGTTGCCTGGGGAGTCCTGAGGGCCGTGCAGAGACTAGGACAGCAAGCATTTGGCCCTGAGGCTCCCCATGCCTGGGTTAGCAAAGTGACCTGGGTTAGCAAGGTACCCAAGGTAACGTGGCCATGATCTGAATACCTAGATGTTTAGCACATGATAGTAAACCTAAGGGCAGTGTGCTGCAACAGACAAATGAACTGTTGATCATCGAGGTGCTGTTGAGCTGTCCTGCAGAGACTAATTTTTATTTATTTACTAGGGGATGCTGCCCTTCTTTGCTCTCCTTTCCCAGCCACCTTTCCCACACACTTGACCCAAAAAACCTCTCCTTCTACACCTCACTCACTTGCTAGACTATTCGCCCACAGCTCAATCCAAGCAATTACAGCCTGCAATATTCACCATTTTATGACACTAATAGCTGTCCTGAGAATGGCATGATGAACAGGGTAAAGGTACCTTAAATACATGGGGAAACCCCTCACATCGCTCTAGGGAAGAGCATTCCAAAAGCAACCTACACCCCAAAGCAGAAATCTCAGAAGATACAGTCGACAAGCATACCATCTGGATCATGGCTTCTGTCCACAAGTGGCTTTCTAGCTCTAGTGCTCTTTGCAACACAGTTCTGAGAATATGCATCATGACATCAGAATTTAGAACGTTCACCACATTTCTGAAAGCAGCACTGAATTCAGGCGGAGGAGGCGGTGGCAGTGCTATAAAAAAAGTAAACAAATACTCATGCATTACTAACTTCCCCGCAGTCTTATGAAAGCAAGGAGCATAGACGTTCATATTTGGCTATAAGCAGTGGATGCTACTTTAATGTATCATACTTGTATGAAATAAAGTCCTGCCATATATACGGCCTCCTGTAAAGTGCTCTGGTAGAACTCTCAACTAACTGCAGCAGATATATGAACATATACTTTGGGTTTAGTATTGCCTCTCTCTCCAATGTTTGAGGCAGAATTCCCTACTTAACTACTCAGAGAACTCTAAGCGGCAATGCTTGGGGACTGAATCTGGGACCTAATGGGTGCAAAGCATGTGTTCTAGCACTGAGCAATGCAATTGCTCAGTTGGAAACGTTTACATCTGAACATGCCAACTACAAAGTAACAGCATTTTCCTAAGCACACTGATACTGTTTAACAATTGCATAACACTGTTTTTGGATTTAAAATGTTTTGTACTACTGTAAATCACAGGGCATTTCAGTATAACCTTAGAGTAACTGATTGGCATTCCTGGAAACTTGTATGTTATTGTTTAACGTAGCACTACACGTCAGCTCCTCTATGCAAATCACAATTTTTGTAAGGAAAAACTACAAGGACCAAGCAATAACTTAAGAGCTGAAACATGAATATGTGAAACAATGTAAACAGAAATGGCTCTGACCCACATTTGTAGCAGTGGACAAGAGTGCAGGAAGGGTCTCCACCTCCCCCATGCTGGAGGGGGACATTAGTACTGATGGAGAATATCTATATGCAATCTCACAGCCTAGGGTGCACTGCCAATACCGCAGCATCTATAGCAACAGCCAAGCCAACCTTAAGAAGCAGTCCTAACTGTGACGGAAGTGGATAGGTGATCCCAACCTCTAAAGCAGATGTAATTAGTTTCTTCATCAAAATAGTAGCACACACAAGTGGCACAAAGTGCAATTAGTTCTCTCTTTGGAAGTCACCATATATTGTACATTTGCAAATAAATGACTTGGCAATCAGTAATATGTTTACATTCTCTGATTCTTTACGAGGAATTAGATGAATCATTATGATCAAGCTGGTTTTATTTTTTAAAAAAACACTTCACCATCACTTCCTTGACTTATTTTGTTCATGTTCCAAACTTTTTACCTTCATCTCTGTTTTCTTGGCACTTTTCTTTTCTTTTCCATTATGCATCAGCCTGTAAGAAGAGTCAACATTTTTACTCTCAGATTACCAATGGAGGTTTTTTTGACTGAATGTAACAGTGGACCTCGCCAAGCGAATGGCCTCGCAAGACAAAAAAACTCGCTAGACGGAAAGGTTTTTCGTTTTCGATTTGCCTCGCAAGACGAATTTCCCTATGGGCTTGCTTCGCAAGACGAAAAACGTCTCGCGACTTTGTTTTCTTTGTCTAAAAACAAAGACATGTTTTGTTTATAAGTTAATTTATTTTCCCTTTCAATTTTTGAACTGCTCTTTACAGTATGTTGACTTTAAAGAGCAGTTAATAAACTGTTGTTGTACCAAATTTGGCTTTGTGTATAGACAAAGAGTTTAGATTAGATTCCATCAAAAGCAATTAACGACCAAGTACTAGGAATTCTCTGAAGGCACAAAAAAGAGAACCTAGAGAAGAGAACAGACACACACACATATCCCTGAAAGCACACACTTGTTAAAGAGGCACTGGGAGTAAAGCAATTGCTTGAATAAAGCAATTGCTCCCCTTTCCTTTTTGTATCCATCTATGAGCATAAACTAAATCTTTTTCTTTTCAGTACAGGCAGGCAGGTGCTCACGCACATGTTTAAGCTAACAAAATTAGTGAAATAGTGCAAGGGTGAGGAAATTCTGAGTATCAGCCTTTATGCTGAGCTACAGGATGCCAATAGGATTCCAAAAAGATGCTTTACTAAATTTAATCTGACCCTTATCTAGAAAGAAAGAAAAGGGTTTTTAGCAACATTGTTTCAAAGTTCTGTAAATGTATAATTTTCACTTGGAAAATACCTTATGCTACAATGTAATGAATGAACACATTAGGACACCTGCACTCTAGATAAAGAATATATATGAAGAACATGAAATCTGAGAATCCGTGTGGCACATCAAAGTCAATCTAGACTCAATAAATATGAATTAATCTAAAGCAACAAAATATATACGCAATTAGTTATTCCTTGAACAAGAATAATACAGGGGAGAAATAAACAAAAATGAGTAAAAGAGACCCGTGAGTCAAGCAGGGTTTTTCTTACCTCCACAACTTATACCCTCATCTTAAAAGACTTAGGGTACAGGCCCATGACATAAATATGCATAAAAATGTATAGTTGCAAATTTAGTCTGGCTTTCGGAGGGGGAAAAACAAATTCTGGGTATCAGGGATCTCTAAGCTATGGGATGCCAACAGGATTTTCTAGGCTCAGTACACTTTATGTGGCTTGAGCCCTCTGCTCCATCCACAATCTACTAGCAAGAAATGCTGCATATGTACATTAAAACTAAAACAAGTGCCTCTATGCAAATTGACACAGTAGGTGGCTGGGATCTCACCAGCACAGGGCTTTGTAATGTACCCAGATGCCCTACAACCAAAGTAAAAACACAATTTTTAAAAAGGGGGAAAGGACAGGAAACCTGGGTCTGAGACCCCGTATGCAAACTCCTGGTTACTAGGTTAATATTGTTTCTTCAAAACATATAATCACACTAATAATTGGCTGCTATCCACAGTGGCTTGCAATCTACTATGTACAGTGGTACCTCGGGTTACATACGCTTCAGGTTACAGACTCCGCTAATGCAGAAATAGTGCTTCAGGTTAAGAACTTTGCTTCAGGATGAGAACAGAAATTGTGCTTCGGCGGTGTGGCGGCAGCCAGAGGCCCCATTAGCTAAAGTGGTGCTTCAGGTTAAGAACAGTTTCAGGTTAAGTACGGACCTCCAGAACGAATTAAGTACTTAACCTGAGGTACCACTGTATTTTGGAAAGTGGTTTGTCTGTCTTTCTGCCCTCTAGGGGTTCAGAACTATGGATAATACTCCAGGGGGCAGGGGCCTCTGAGTACTAGGCGATTTGATCATAAGGGACATAGACAGCTAGGTTTGCGACAGGCATGCAAGCACCATGGTAACTTCCCCACTTGGTGGGAAGGTTGGTCACATCATGATTTCCTTACCTTGCTGCGCTGTGTTTTGGTGTAATGGTAGAAGAATATATTGTACTCTCTGCGGCATTCTTCCTTCAGTTCATATACTCCATGGCCTGATACGCCTGGTTTCCTTTATTTGAAAAGCATACAAACGATGCAATTATTTTCAGCAAAGCATTAAGGAGAACACGCAATCGTTTCATACACACAACATACAAAGAATCCTGCTGACTCCAACCAAGGGCCTGACCTTTAAAGCCCTAAACGGCCTCGGTCCAGTATACCTGAAGGAGCGTCTCCACCCCAGCGTTCTGCCTGGACACTGAGGTCCAGCGCCGAGGGCCTTCTGCCGGTTCCCTCGCTACGAGAAGCCAAGTTACAGGGAACCAGGCAGAGGGCCTTCTTGGCAGTGACACCTGCCCTGTGGAACGCCCTCCCACCAGATGTCAAAGAGAACAACAACTACCAGACTTTTAGAAGACATCTGAAGGCAGCCCTGTTTAGGGAAGCTTTTAATGTTTAATAGACTATTGTATTTTAATATTCTGTTGGAAGCCGCCCAGAGTGGATGGGGAAACCCAGCCAGATGGGTGGGGTATAAATAAATAAATAAATAAATAAATAAATAATTATTACTATTATTATTATTATTACATCTTGTCCACCATCCTGCTTCCCACAGTGGCTAACTAGATGCCTAAGAGAAATGAGTAAGCAAGAAATGAGGGCAATAGCAACCATTACTCAGAGGCATGCTGCCTCTATCCTGAATAGCCTCACAATTCAAAGCCACAGGACATGTTAGGAATTTTGAAGGACAAACTGAGTGTGCACAGAACAGCACAGTGGCATCTAGCCAGTCTAATTTAGGGTGTTCCTTTGAACAGGCCACAGAATCCTCTGCAACATGCAAGTTCCTTCCACAGACACACAGTTCTTCAACAAGCTGATTTGTAAAACCCTTCCCTCTCAAGGTAAACAAACATGAAATACCACTACTGAAACATAGCGAATGCTTTTGGAATCTGAGTAAATGGATCACTGCTTCAACACAGTTTTTAATTCTTTCTGTAAAACTCTGAAAGCATATATACTTCAAATGTCTGGCTTCCTTATGTGTGGCAAACACATGAGAATGTTCCTCTTCAACCAGGCATTTGGCTGATTAACATTCTATGCCTTTCAAATGTGTTTGTGGGAAGAGGACTATTGGGTTTGTTTTTGTTTTAGTACAGTGGTACCTTGGTTCTTGAACTCAATCCATTCTGAAAGTCTGTTCGACTTCCAAAACGTTCACAAACCAAGGCACAGCTTCTGATTGGCTGAATGGCCCCAGAAACAATGCTGACAGCCAAAACACATGTTCGGCTTCCGAAAAATGTTCGCAAACCAGAACACTTACCGTACTTTTCGCACCATAACACGCAGTTTTCCCCCCTTAAAAAGTAAAGGGAAATGTGTGTGCGTGTTATGGAGCGAATGCAGGCAGGAGGAGCCGCTCTTGCTGGCTGTTCGGCAGCCTCTTTTCCTCCGCTTGGCTCCCTGAGAAGCCGGCAACAGCTGAGCAACAGCTGAGTGTCGGGAGACAGCCTCTCTCCCTCCTGTCTGCCTGCTCTATGGCTTTTTAGCGAGGTGGGAGAAGGGAGGCAGCTTGGAAGCCGGCAAGAGCTGCCTGCAGCTGTAAAAGCCAAGGTGGGAGAAGGGAAACAGCCTCTCTCCCTCCTGTCTGCCTGCTCTATGGCTTTTTAGCGAGGTTGGAGAAGGGAGGCAGCTTGGAAGCCGGCAAGAGCTGCCTGCAGCTGTAAAAGCCAAGGTGGGAGAAGGGAGACAGCCTCTCTCCCTCCTGTCTGCCTGCTCTATGGCTTTTTAGCGAGGTGGGAGAAGGGAGGCAGCTTGGAAGCCGGCAAGAGCTGCCTGCAGCTGTAAAAGCCAAGGTGGGAGAAGGGAGACAGCCTCTCTCCCTCCTGTCTGCCTGCTCTATGGCTTTTTAGCGAGGTGGGAGAAGGGAGGCAGCTTGGAAGCCGACAAGAGCTGCCTGCAGCTGTAAAAGCCAAGGTGGGAGAAGGGAGACAGCCTCTTTTTCTCAGTGTCTGCCTGCTCTATGGCTCTCCCTTACACACATGTAAGTGGCTCTTACTCTGCTTTCTTTACAATGAGCTGGAAGGAGGGACAAAGAGGGCATCCCCTTCCGTCCCTCCCCCAGCACCTCACCGGTAAATTTAAACAAAGCAGCTTACAAGGCTCGTGTCCCTGCATCTCCTCCTCTTTTTGCTTCAGTTCGAGGCAAGGCAGCTGCACAAATGTGAGTTCCCCCTCTCTCTTCCTTCCCTCCCTCCCTCCCTCCCTCCCTCCCTCTTCCAGCTTCAAAAAATATTGGGGAGACAGCCAGGTAAGCCCCACTCACATACCACAATGGGGGATGGGGGATGACTCCCTCAAATATTTAATGGGGGGTGAAGGCACCTAGGCCCATAGGAGTTGGCTGCTTTGCCTAGGACAAGTGCGAGCTCCCCCCCTCTTCCTTCATCACTGTATTGGAGATACCATACATTACTGACAGTTCCTTCATTCACGTGGTTACAAAGCACGGATCCACATGGATCCTCAGGATTTTTGCATTGGGCTACCCCAAACTCATCGTTAGATCACATGTCTGTGGCCACAGCATGAACCACAAAAATCATACATCCACTGTTTTGTTTAGAATATTTTTTTTTCTTGTTTTCCTCCTCTAAAAACTATGTGCGTGTTATGGTTGGGAGCGTGTTATAGAGCGAAAAATACGGTACTTCCAGGTTTGTGGTGTTTGGAAGCCGATTTGTTCGTCAACTAAGCCATCCTGGAACCAAGGTACCACTGTATGCATTTTGTGTTCTCATTTTGTATTTTACTGTTGTGAACTGTCCTGTGATCTTCGGATGAAGGGTGGTATACAATTTTAATTAATTAATTAATAATATGCTATCACTATGCTTTAACTACTGATTTAAAAGGAAGAAGAGCTTACTTGAATATGGCCACTTTGTGGATGACCTTCTCCAAACCAGTCTCATTGTTTTCCTGTTAAAAACATTTGACATGGTAAAGTAGCAAGAACAAAATATATGTGGTGAGAAACAGTAAATTAAAAGCAAATCAAGCTGCCTAAGAACCAGTAGCTGATAAACATCTACAGATACCCAGATAAAACTGCATGTAGGCATTTGTCACCATGCTATGAATGCAGCAACAATTCAAATGAGAGCAAGGGCATGGGGAGCTGTGAAGCAGATTGTTATTAAAACAATCAAAATTTTCAAAATTGAAATGTTATTATGAAGGCCACTGTCTCTTTGCAAATAGTTAAAATATAATCAAGTACTTTTAAGCTGATTTATCCAAAATGACATGGACACATGGAGCTCCTAAAGGTAAAGGGTAAAGGGACCCCTGACCATTAGGTCTAGTCGTGACCGACTCTGGGGTTGCGGCTCTCATCTCGCTTTAATGGCCGAGGGAGCCGGCGTACAGCTTCCGGGTCATGTGGCCAGCATGACTAAGCCACTTCTGGCGAACCAGAGCAGCGCATAGAAACGCCGTTTACCTTCACGCCGGAGCGGTACCTATTTATCTACTTGCACTTTGACATGCTTTCGAACTGCTAGGTTGGCAGGAGCAGGGACCGAGCAACGGGAGCTCACCCCATCGCGGGGATTCGAACCACCAACCTTCTGATCGGCAAGTCCTAGGCTCTGTGGTTTAACCCACAGCGCCACCCGCGTCCCTCATGGAGCTCCTAATGTACGTGGTTTTTTGCAATCACAGTAATACTGAAGAAGTTCTGTGTATAGAATGGTGTGTTTTGTTTTTTGCATGCCTGCACACCCACCCACACAAGCAAAAGAGAAAGAGTGCTCTTGTGCTACAAGGAGTCTGGATTGTCTAAGAAAAGGATATTAAACATTTCTGCTGAAAGAGGAACACAAGATAGAGGAAACATCAAGCACAGGAGGAACTTGAGCTGTGTTTCAATGATAATTTTATCATATACGCCACTGAAGAGTTCTGTGGTAAAGCAATCTGTGAACCTTTCTAGATTAATAGGAATCAACGGAAGAAATCACTCACATCCTTGGGCAAAGATTTTGCGATAGCACTGTGAGCCATTGGTTCAATGCAAAGCAGATGAATAATTTCTCGCATAGTAACGTCATCTTTTGTCACATTACTGACTCCTGGCACATATCTTTCCCCTGGAAGCAAAAAGAGGAAGAAAGTAATCTCACATATATACAGTGGAATACATTTTCATGCATGCAAGAGATCATACTGTAATGATGATGGTTCCTAGACTAAAAATTCCTTGAAAGCGGCATGGAGCGCTGCAAGGGGATGCATGGGCAGGGCTGAATATATAGTAGGTTAGATAAAGAGGCCAAGAATAGTAAAGTGAGGTTACAGTCATACAAAATCTGAGGGCTCCTACACACACACACACACACACATACATATGTGTGCGCGCGCACACCCACCCACCCACCCACCCACCAACCTTCTCTCCATCCAAGCAAGCAAAATATATCATCACAGTTCAAGAACACATTTCAGCCAGGAAAAGCACTTGGGAGGAGCGAAGAGAAGCAGAGCCAATGATAATGATATGGAGAGAAGCCGGAGGATAAGACAAAGATGCCTGGAAGCATTTGCTCCATGGGCTGGAGGTTCCCCACCCCTGTTCTATGTCCTATCCCATGGGTGGGGAACTGGATCTAGCCAGTAGGACAGATCGTTTTCTCCACGAACCCTCATGGGCCAAATCACCTTTTTCACATATGGAGTCTTCAAAAGCCCCTTTCAAAGCACAGCCTATCCCTTAGCTTGGTGATGAGCCAGCTGTTTTTATTTTGGTTTGGGGGGGGTTGTTTGTTTGTTTGTTTGCATTTTTTCAGTCTTCTCTCTATTTCCTGTTACTTCTAATAGTCCGGTTAATTTTCCTTCCATTCCTTCTTGATTTTGCTCTAATTTCAGAAGGATAACAGCCTTCAGTCCAAGCTAGTTTTGAAACCCCAGCACTGGATCAGTATTAAAAAATGTATTGCCCAAAAAGGCATTTAGTACAGTGCACCCCACCTAACCACAATCGTAGCTATACACATGATTTTCAGTTTTTATTGAAAGAAAATACTTTTCATTCACTATACAAATGCACTGTCTGCCATTGTCTTCCATCAGCCACTTCCAGAAGTCCATGTATACAGTATTCACATGTACTGTTTAAAGAAGTGCAGTGCTGCCACAACCATCAACACCCACTGGAAACCCAACTTTTCACAATGGCATGTACAGACTATTCAATGAGCTGCCTGTGCACACATCACAGCTAGGCTATTCCTTGGAGAAACATAACCACACTGAATAGCTGAAGGTAAATTTACATATGGTTGCAAAGGAAATGAACCTTTTTAAGGGCCTAAAGAACCAGCTGATGTGGAAGAAGGGGAAAAAAGGGACAACATTAAAAGGTGGCTCATAATTAACCCAGATTAGATATGTAATTAATATGCCACCTAACACACTTGTGTTAAGTGTGATGGTTTTAGATATTAAAGTTTCCATTACTGGAGAACCTATTACATATTCTAAACAACCTCCATCTTTTCTTAAAAAAAGCAATTTTCCTTACCCACCACGTAGATAAGAACTTGAAGCATCTCTTCTATTAATGTGTTACACTGCTTATTCAAATCCTGTAATATTTCAAGAAAGCACAAATGAAGTTCTTGGAAAATGTAATTATGTGAAATACTGAAGCCTGAGGTTTTCTGAAGCACTTGAAAACATATTAAGCTGACCCAAAGCTTTATGAACAGAAAAATAACTGGAAAGATAGAGGGTGGAAACTAGTTGGTGCCTGTGAATTCACAGAAGGGCTTTTGATGCACCACATGTTTCTGCAAACAGGACAAGTGGGGAGGCAATTTTTGCCAATTCCTGCTTCCCACAGCAGCCCCAACCACCACCCAAAAATCAGCTCCAGAGTGTTAGGGAAACCTACAGAGCAGGGAAGCAGTAGAAAGGGCAAACTGCCAACCATCCCTCTCCTGTTTGTGTGAATGCATCAGTTGGGTCAAAGGTCCTTCCATGACCACAAGGGCAGTAACTGGATTCCACCCAGTATTTAAAAGTTCCCCCACCAGAACTCATGTCAGAAAATTAAGCCTACACACTGGATGGAAATAATCTAAAGAAAAGAATCAAAGAGAAGGGAAGGGATAAATTCCATTTTTAAGTTGTAAAGCTGCAATAATTTATGGTATAGAAAGTCTATGTGATTTAAGAAAGTCTCTTCAGTGGAAATTACTGTTTTTAGTAAAATATTGCAATTTCATTGAACGAGAAAGAAACAGTGGGTTTCCACATGTTTATGATTTCAATGGTGAAAATTAACAGCATAGAGCTCTGTACCTGGTCTTTGGTTGGCACAATTCTCTTAAAGGCATCAAGCAGTTCATATCGTTGGAGTACAAGCAAGAGGAAACTGTTTGGATCCATAAGGGCTGCCCCAATCTATCAGAGATATATACATTCAATAGCATTAGAGAATAGAGAATATAGGCAACACACAACACGCTGCTACTATAAGGCCAAAGAAACTGCAAACATACTCACCTGAAGGAAAATTATATCCTTATCATACATTTCTTCTCGACATTTAACATCCTGATAATAAAACATCTGAAAGGAAATAAAACCTTTAAAAACGTATATAGAGTGATATGATAGCCAACGTGATATGATAGCCATGTTCAAATATATAAAAGGATGTCATATAGAGGAGGGAGAAATGTTGTTTTCTGCTGCTCCAGAGAAGCGGACACGGAGCAATGGATCCAAACTACAAGAAAGAAGATTCCACCTAAACATTAGGAAGAACTTCCTGACAGTAAGAGCTGTTCGACAGTGGAATTTGCTGCCAAGGAGTGTGGTGGAGTCTCCTTCTTTGGAGGTCTTTAAGCAGAGGCTTGACAACCATATGTCAGGAGTGCTCTGATGGTGTTTCCTGCTTGGCAGGGGGTTGGACTCGATGGCCCTTGTGGTCTATTCCAACTCTATGATTCTATGATTCTAGAGCTTCATATACAAAGCCATCCTCTTTGGCATAGGCATTCAATTCAGCAAAACACTACTCCTTCCTACCCTTAACTTTGCTATAAAAAGTTTTCAGCTACCACATTTCTGATACTGGCAATATCCCCTAAAACTGCATATGATAAAACCTCTTGGCTACAATCCAGAGAAAGACCAGCAGAAGGTGGCCAAAAGGTGACTCCCTTCTCCAACTCTGCACTGAAAGAAGCTTAAGAAGATTTTCTTAATTTTAGGAGATCCCTTATTTCCTCTTGAATTATAGCCCCCACCATTCAGGATCATTTCTGTCTTGTACTTTAGGGACAGAAAAATATAATATCTACAGTATTATCGATCAGATTTTTATCCTGTCCTTCCTCCAAGGAACTCAAAGCAGCACACATAATCCCCTGCTTGTACTCTCAAAACAACTCTATTAAGAGTTGGTGACTGGCCCAAGGTACCTACTGTACCCTTTCTACCTACTGAATAAGCCCTGGAGTAAGTTTTTGTCCACTAATTTGCTTGCAATACTTATACTGGCAACTTAGCCTCTGTGGGATATATAGAACTACATGCGAGAATATATTTGTAGTGAAATTTGGTTTGGTACCTGGCTTATCAGAGACAGCCCGTTCCTTCTCCACATTTCGGCAGCAACCTGAGCAACCAATACTAGACAACGCAAAGGATATTCCACCAACATCTGCACCTGGAATTCTTCCTAAAGGTTTTTTTTAAAAAATTGATTGTGTTAAAACAACCGGCATTTGCACAAGGAAATCAATCACTACAGATAAGTTAGTAAAAAAAAGGGGGCGGGGTTTTCTCTGCTATCGTTAAAAGAAAAATACAACAAAAGGTTAGAGGCAGAATTAAATTGCACTTTATTATGCTAGGCTCTAACACTGTACTGTGTGGTTTCAGCCAAGCCAAGTCAGTATTCATTCAGTGTTCAGCCACTACAGACCTATAGGCTTCCTTAAGGAAGATGACTAATGATTCTATATTGTCAATTATTGACGGGAAACAGCATCAATCTTTTTTGCAGAATATTTATTTATATTTAGCAGCCAATAACTGCCCACAGCAGGGTACTGCAGTTTAAGATCTCCTGCCATTAAGAGCTTATTTGTATCCTTTCTTAGCTCTCTGCCACATTTATATCCCACCTTCTTTCTATGGAACTCAAAACGCCATACCTGGTTCTTCCCCTTCCCATTTTATCCTCAGAATAACTTTTTGAGGCAAGTTAGGTTTAGAGGGAATGGCTGGCTGAAGCTCACTTAGTGATCTTCATCACTGGGTAGGGAACTGAGCCTGGAATTGGATCAGGGAGACCCAACAAGTTAACCACTAGACCCCAATGACTCTCATTAACTGGCTGAACTTTCAAATACTATTGAGCATCCAGTGGAGATACTTACAGATGTTATGAATTCTTGGAGTCTGGAGATTACATCTGTTTTGCTCAACTGTATGTGCAGACCTAGGAAATACATTAACAGTAATGTTTGTATCAATTTATAAGTTACAAGATGCATTTGTATGCTTGTTGTCTAAATACAGGCTTATAATTAAGCTCTCTCCTCACTAACTATGATCTGTAGCCAAGAACCAACATTGGCCAGATAGCTTAATCACAAGCCAGGTTTCAGAGAGCATACGAAGTCCAACTTTGGCTTAGCTCAGTGAAGTGCGGGAGAAAATGGACTCAGGAGAAACTAAGCAGCTGCAAGATCCTCTCTGGGAGCCTGCACATTTTCACAGTCCAGGTAAGTCATAGCTTGGCTTACTATGCCATATGCACCAAGCCCTAATAAATTTATACATGCTGTGAAGAGATACTTTCTGCTCTCTGCTGTATAAGAAGTCAGCCACCCAATCAAACTGACCGGCAAGTCAATTCAGAACAGCAAAATATTTTTTTTCCTTTACAAGAACAGGAATTCAAAATGGCGTTATGAGCTTAGATTGTAAAGATGATTTGAAAAATTCATGCAGGAGAGATCTAACAGTAGCTATTATTATCCATGATAGTTAAATACAACCTCCAGGTTCAGAATCCTTCTCAAAATGTAAGCAGGAACTGACTGCAATTCTCACAAGCTGCAAGCACAGGACACTCACCAGCAAGCATCCTGGACAATGGTAGATGTATGCTGACAGGATCTGCAGACACCCTGAAGCGCTTGCTTTCCAAAGTATGGCCACATAAATGAATCACTGTCTTGTCCCATGAATAATTACTTGCACTACATCTCAATACTGTTGCATGGCATTCTTTGTAAGCAGTCACCAACAGTGCTTCCTAGAATGGACAATATTTTTATAATTATATTTAAATATACAGCCTTATTTTTTCTACTTCAATTTAACTGTGCTAAAAAAAATCCTACTGTCTCATTTCTATGTTTTAATACGGGTCATGCATTTTATTTTTGATCAGCGGTAATGGAATTGTGCATTGCTATATGTTTAAAATAAACCTAATTCCTATGAAATTTGGTTACTAATCATCCTGTGAGAATATGGATTGTTCAGTTGCATCTCTTAGGAACAACTTTCTAGTCATTTTTTCTGTCACAATTCTGGTCAACCACACGTAAATATAAAAACAGAACTGTCTTTTCCAGATGACTTTCAGATACTTTGCTGCTTAACTATATGTTTTCAACTCCATAGCTTTATGAATGATCTGCATCTCCAGAAGCCACTTTTCAGCTTTCTATACAGAGGATTGTGAAAATAAGTAGGAGACTTTCAAAACAGATTTTGAAAAAACAAGCTTAGCAAAGATTCAGATCATCAGCCAAATCCAGAATCTGTATCTTCTCACTATTCAGTGTTGTTTATCATATACAGCGGGCCCAGAACTTATGCTCACTTTACATATGCAATTACAACTTTACAAGGGGTGGGGTTGGTGGTTGGTAGGTAAATAAATAAATGAACGGGGGAAACCCGCCATTTCCTGCCCCCCATTTATTATCCCCCCACACACGCCAAGTGGGTTTTCCATGCTTACCAGCCTCTGAGATGTTCCCAGAGCCGTCTTCCCAATGTCCAGCAAGCAAGGTGGCGCCTTCCTTACCAGCCTCTGGAAATGAGATGTGAGGGCTCTGGAAGCATCCCAGAGGCTGGTATGGAAAGTCCGCCTCGCATACTGGACCTCCTATGACCTTTCCAGAGCCTGGTAAACAACCCTCCACCTTGCAGGAGGCAGTTCCAGGGGTTCCTGACTCTCTGCGATTTTGCAGACCCCCCAGTTGGGGATGCGCCAACTGTATCACATCCAGCTTCAATTAGGAGGGAAATATTCTTTCTTTCTCTTTTTTGCTAAATACAAATACTTCCACAGATCCTTCCAAGTAAATATCAATTGAAATTATCATAGCAAAATTTTGCTATGTGAACTTTTAAGCGTTCAAGGTAAAAAACATTAATGGGTTAAAGTTGAAGCACCAGGCTCGTCAAGGTCATGGGGAGTGGTATGCTCACAAGGGACCTCCAAAGATTTGACTTTGCTCCATAAACAAGTATTTGTTTCTACAGATAATGCTGCAATTTTATTGAAACAGGCTTACGTCGCAGGCGCACCACTCCTGAAACATCAGGAGAATAATCTTCAGTTGCATCTGGATGACAATGGCTGCTTCCCAATCTGGATCCACCTCAATGTGCTGGCCAACTTGCCTTTTTATTTCCTCCATGCCCTGCAATGAAATCCCCGCCCCAAACAGTATGTGACTAAACTGAGGCTTGTATCAGACAGGTGTTCAAACCATGATTCTAAGCAAACAGAAGCGCCAACTGAAACAAGGTCATTTATATTTCTACAGTGTGGATAATTAATTACAGTGGTGCCTCGCAAGACGAAAATAATCCATTCCGCGAGTCTCTTCGTCTAGCGGTTTTTTCATCTTGCGAAGCAACCCTATTAGCGGCTTAGCGCTATTAGCAGCTTAGTGGCTATTAAAGGCTTAGCGGCTTAGCGGCTAAAAGGCTATTAGTGGCTTAGCGGCTTAGAAAAAGGAGGGGGGGGAGCGAAAAAAATCGCAAGACTCGCAAAACGTTTCCATCTTGCGAAGCAAGCCCATAGGGAAAATCGTCTTGCGAAGCAACTCAAAAACGGAAAACCCTTTCGTCTAGCGGGTTTTTCGTCCTGCGAGGCATTCGTCTTGCGGGGCACCACTGTACTAAGGTTTATTTACTGCTTAATCAACAGGAAAACTCTAAGCAGTTATGGTGTGTGTTTTAATAGCATCCCAAATTATATACATATGTAATTGTGCTTGTAAAATCCAGAGCTCTGCTGAATAAAGTTAATTCATACTCACCTGAAAGAACATTTGAGAAGAACGCTTATGAATCATATTAGGATAGCACATTAATATTGTATTGGGCATATGGGCAGGTTCATAATACAGTAGCCATATATATATAGCAAATAGCAAATTAGAGATGTATATATTATATACTGTACCTGCATGCAAATAAGAATCTTCAGGAAAGAACGGAACCCTTCCAAAAACTGCTCTCGCAGTTTGTCTGTCCACACTGTAGGCTTACTGATTAAAATATACCTGTTGCAAAAGAAGTTGAATTTCAGAAGTCTTTTCCAAAGCAGGCTTTAAATTGGGGTATGGGGCTGGAATTGTATGTGGCAGGGAAAGATTTTGAAACTCCTTTGAGGAAATACCCACTGGTGCAGCAATAAAATGGTTAACACATTTGCAAAGCTAAGCAGGGTCCAGGATGGATTCAAACTGGATGGGGGACGGTGCGCTGAGATTCCTGCATTGTAGGGGGTTGGACTAGATGACCCTTGGGATCCAACTCTATGATTTCTCTCTCTTGGAAATAATGACAGCCTGGCTGAAATGCGGAAGAACAAGCTGACTTTGATCACTGATATCCTCTTGCACAACTGTGTCTGCACTAGGTCTACCCAGAAAAGGGCAACATAAAACACAACACAAGAGATAGACTGTTTTTTTAATAGATATTGATCAGTTTGCAACATATAGTAAGGAAGTATGCCCTGATGGTGGTAATGACAGACACATAAATTATTATTCTCCAGTGCCAGTGAATTGTGCCAGTAATTGGTTCTAGAATGACAAAATGGCCAATCTAATTTCTGACCATGATTCTAAATTTCGGGTGAGACACTCAATAGTGGGCTACGTCTGACCAGGCAATGCTTCATTTATATTCATTTGCCTAAGGTTGTAGTTGCATATCCACAATATGATTCAGTTCTAATGTGGCATGTTTTGCAATGCTTATCCCAGACACAAACACTTTTCTGCAACATGTAAAGAGCGAGGTAGGGTAAAACAAATATGATTGCCTAATGAAGCACGTACTCATCTCCACAAACAAGAACACTTACTTGAGGTCATATATGACTGCATATACTCGACCCATTTTCTCTTGGCTGTAATCCTGGAAGTTGAATTTGCCATTTTTATCCAGATATTTGGGGAGCTCTTCAAGCAGCGTCTCTGTTATGACAGAGATTACATTTTGCTCTTCAATGAGGTGGCGGGCCTGCGAGGGAAGCAGTAACAATTGTTTTTATTTCATTTTCTATTTTATTCAAAAAAGGTAAAACCTTCAGATGTATTGCTGCTTTATGTACAGAAGTACAGTGTAGGCCCAGGGAAGCACTGGCCCTCTGGATTTGTTGGACTCCACCTCTCACCAGTCTCAGCCATCTTCGTCAGGGATGATGGGTTACAAAGCGTATTTTATCACATCACTGTCTTCTGTCTTTGCAAATCAAATTTGCCAGCAAGGCTTAAATAATTAAACTGCTTTGAGTTTGTTTGTTTTCTACCATCAAACAGCATATAAATATGTCAGCACACCACCAAAAATTTGGCTTTTGGGGTGGGCTTCAGCACATAAGAGAGGGCAATAAGGCCTTGTTTTGTAAGTAGGACACTGCTTGTGGTTCATGGGATCCAAACTATAATAATGCTGTACTGAAGGCTGATTGAAGGCTCTGGACAAAAGGGAAAAAGTAGAATACAGAGATATGGTTGCCCCCTTGGTTATAGTGACTGAAACAAAAATTAAATATGTTTGCTTATTTAAAAAGTGAACGCATAAAAGACTATAAAGGTTATTTGCAAGATTTCTTCTCACATATTGTTTATTGTTTCCACTGTATGATGCCAGACCAAGTCAGATAGGAATACAAATAAGCAATGTATCTTAAGAAGAATTCAACCAGTCTTTCTTTGGAAAATTTCTTGCAGTGTCCAAGTTACCTACAAGTATTGTGATTAACACAATACAAAAAGTTCTTTATATACTCAGATGATTGGCTGTACGTACCAATGTAGGAACGGTGAACATCTGAACTGAAAGTGCTGTTACAGAAATTTGCCTTTCATGATCATCACTGATGTATTCACTCTGTAGTTTTTTGTAATGCTGTGAAGAGAAGAAAACGCAAAAAAGGTGATTGCCTGGCAGGAACTTAAGGCCAGAGGCACCATGAGGAGAGCATACGGTACGTGAAATCCCTGCCTTCCAGCAGGAACATACACTATTTCACCAGACAACCCAACTGTGACGGACCAATGTTCTTTCCTTTTTAAATTTAAGACAAAGAAGGACTCTGTTTGGACCACTGGGCAGCATGGTTCTGCTCGTGTCTTCCATGACTGCAGTAGGCAGTTGGACACTCCCACACTTTCAACGTACAGCACAGGCAAGTCATCTTTGGCACAAGGTAACAGAGTGTTCTTATCGGCCAAAGAATGGGGAAAACTTCTCTGTAGATGCTTTGAGCACGTTAATTCAATGGCAGTCATTTGGATGAACACTGTTTCTACCTCAGGACTTTGATGAAGTTTGTTGTAAAAGTCCCCCCACCCCCACCCCAAAATTCAACTTTGAGTGATGCTAATGATTGCTGAATCTCACTGAATTTTCTCTTTGGGGAGGACCTTTAATGAACTCATTTAATGAATAATTTAATCTCTACTGTATGTTTATTATTCTATTACCAGTTTTGAGCATGTGCCAAAAAAGTGACTTACAAATGCTTAAAATAAATAATAAGTAAACAAGGGGTTTAACAACATTATCATCATCATTTATTAAATTTATATATTGTCCTTCATCCGAAGATCACAGGGCAGTTTACAGAACTGGATACAGAGTTGGATGCCCAACTCCCGTCAGCCCCAGCCAAGATAGCCAAAGGTCAACGTGGCGGCAAAGCTGGGGCTGCATGGTGTATCTGCACAGTCAGTTTGATGCTTTTGCCAGTCCACCACCTTGCACCACCCTCTCTCACCTCTGCCTCCTAGTGAGTGGCAGTGATGCTGCTGCCATGAAGATATTGCTGTGGCTCTGCCCCACTGGGCAAGCTGCAGTCAATGATTTTTTAAAAAGGCTTTGCAAAACATACCTTGCTATTATAAGGGTGAAAAGTAACAGGAGAGATAAATTACCTTAACAAATTCCATGGCAAACCTTTTTTTGTACTCCATTTCCATGAAAAAACTGCTGAAGATTAGTTCATGCAAGATCTTCCTGGCTCCTGAAAAATTCAACAGGTCATGTTTACTCCCATAAGAAAGAGAATGAATATCTAATTATGAGGATATTTTGTTCCATTTTACAAAATGCAATGTTTATCTCAATAACGGAGTAAGTAGTAACAGTAAGTGCTTACATTTTGAAATGTACACAATTGCCAAATATATGTAAGTAGAGTCCAGTTGGGAAACCATATTTGTTTGAAAGCCTGGACATCAATCTTTTTTTAAAATTTAAAAAGTAGCTGTCAGACTATTTCCAAATATCAAAGTATCATTCATCTTAAACTGAGTGGCAGACACTGAAGGTTTAATACATCACAGCTTGTAAAGAAGCTCAATTAACATCAATACAACTTACCTTTGTAAAGTTTTGCATCCCAAAGCATCAATGTGCTTATAAGACAAGGTTTCTCTGAATCAATTTCTTCTTTTAGACATATTTGACAAAAGATCTGACGAAAGTCACCTAAGATAGAGTAACATAATCTGGATGGGTTATTGGAATGATTGTGGCCTGCTTAAATGTTGTATTCTTTTGATTAAAAAAAACTTTTGCCAATAAATCTTCAAATGTAACAGAATAGTATGTCTATTCTGAAATCAATTCCTTACTTTTGCAAGGACCCCACCTCTTCGCTGACCCTGTACTACCATGTTTATCTTTCAATCAATATTATTTCTTTTCAAATAAGAGTATAAAGTGTCTAGAACTGCTATTGCCTTGCATATTTGAGATGTTATTCTGGACCAGCTTTGAACAAACAACACCAATAACTTACGACTACTTATTCAATTTCCAACCCTGCCTCCATTGTAAGGTCCCAGGGCAGCTTACAACAATTTTAAAATATAATATTAAAATAAGTTTAAGCAAACTCATGGTATTTATGCTAGCCACTTTTATTCTGAATTAAAAGCAGCCACGAGGAGCACATGAAGTGATAATTAGGAACATGGCCTACAAGAACATACCCCAGCTAGCCATCACCATATAATGGAATATTTATTTCTGGGTCAGCCAGGAGACCAGAATACCATTACTTTCGCTACCTCAGAAAAACACAAGGAATTTGAGGCTTGAATTCAAGTGAATGGAAATATTTCCCAAACACAACTGTGAGTTTTATATCTGGACATTTTGTAAGATGCAAATCCTTAGTATAAAATGTTTGCACATGAAAAATGATTTTTAGTATCAATAATAGCTTTGACCATTTAAGAAAGACTGGTCCTGCAATTACATATACTGCTAAGGAAAGAATTCTCTTGTCAATGTTTCGGCATTTGATTATGATACAGAGCAATTTAAGGCGCTTACTTGAGTAGCTCATAAGTTTGTTTAACCAGGAACCAAGACGCAGAGCAAATTTCTGGTGAGCCATAATATCAGCATGAAGAACCTTAACATTTAGGGGACCTTGGGAAACGTTGTTCGAATGTTTCTAGAAGATAAAAAAAAAAAAGACATTAGAATGAGAGGATATTAACTGATTCTTTGATCTTGCCTACCTTTCCCTGTCATCTTCTCTATCATGCCATTTGTACTTCCAAAGAAGGAAAAGAGAGGACAGCTGGAACAGTTAGAGCGCAGTGTCAAATTGATTAAATGTTACAAAAGATGCAGGATAAGAAAAATCTGAAAAGCTCAAGAATGATTCGAAGTCTTTGCACCTGTAAAGGAACAGAACAATTATTCAGTATTAACTAGGTATATTTGACACATTTCAGGAAGTTACCTTAATCTCTTCTTTTGCTTCCTGGCAAACAGCATACGATCCTGCCTTGACAGCCTTCCGGCCCTGAATAATTAGAAGAAGTGACATATTTAGGTCAGGTAATGGCAGAACTTGATCTTATAACAATATGTAAACAAAGGCAAGACTGAACTAAGGATGTTCAACTGTTTCATAAGCAGCTAATGACAATGCATGGTTTCAACTCTTTATCTTTGGAGATTTCACTAGACTGATGCACCCTATGGTGTGGGCACATTTAGAATATTGTTTGTACTGACCCAGTTGTAATGTTGTGGTGTGTGGCTCAATTTCCATGGAAGGGTAAGGGCTCAGTGTCAGAGCATTTGCCAAAGGTCCCAGATTCAATTCCTGGAATTTCCAGGTAGGGTTGAAAAAGACACCTGTCTTAAACCCAGGAGAGCTGTCTCCAAACAGTGCAGACAATACTGAGCAAGATGGACCAATGGGATGCCTTAGCTTAGTGTAAGGCAGCTTCATGTCTCTCAAGACAAGCCCTAACCCTGAAGAGTGTTACTGCATGGCCCAATTCATTCCAATGAATCCTTCCCTCATGAGTCATTGCCCAAATCTACACATAGATAGATGTAGATGACACAGCTATACATATACATATTCCTGCTGAGATTTCCCTTGATAAAAGACACTCCTTTCAATATATATTTCATATAACTGCCTGGAAAAGTAGGATCACGATATGGAGTGCCACAAGCAACATCGCACACCATGTGATATTGCTTCGGAGAGAGGAAAATGCTGTCATGCTCCACCAAGAGGCAGTGCAATGCCAATACTGTTGGGAAATGGTGACGTTCTGTTCCTCTCTCTTCTCTTCCATGGAAATAATCCCTTATCTCCAAAACACAATTGTTACAGAACACGGTGGCAGGAATATGGCAAACACACAACCACAGGGTACAAGTCAAACCTTGGTTGTCGAACGGCTCCATTTTCAAACGTTTCAGTTCCTGAACGCCGATAACCCAGAAGTAAATGCTCCGGTTTTCAAACGTTCCTCGGAACTCAAACGTCCAACGTAGCTTCTGCTTGAATGAAAGAAGCTCTTGGAAACCAATCGGAAGCCGCGCCTCGGTTGTCAAATGTTTCGGAAGTCGAATGGTCTTCAAGAAGAGATTACGTTCAAGAACCGAGGTTTGACTGTATTAGCTGATAACTCTTATTGTTTTCTCACTTACCACTTATGAAGCATTTTGGCTTTTCTTGCTAAGTAATGGAAGCAGATTATGGACCACAACAGTACAACTGGCTCTCTCTCAACTGGGCTACAATATGGTACAGTTGTAACAGGAATGGTGCATACTACCAACCTCTTTATCTATAGCAGCAGTATATATCTGGGCTTCTCCGAGCTCACAGCCAAGAGTTCTTTGTAGGCTATAGATAACATGGTCATAAGAATGATGTTCATCATTGAAAAGGACACAGTAGTATTTGTCCAGCTTCTCTCTACTAGGAGGAAACCAAAATGTCATTCTAACAAGAGAATACAAAATAAACTCCAACATACATATTGGGCAACAAAACAAATGTAAGCCGTTAAGTAAAACAGGGACAAGCAATCAAATTGGAGGAATTGATTAAGCTCTGATTTACATAAATAATGTTCTTATTTACATTAGAATAGCTACTGATCCTGAAGTAAGGAATGTCTTACTTGCGTCCCAGACCACTTTCTCATCTACCCCTTGGTTGAGGCTGACTTCAAAATATTCTTTAATTATTATTTTTACCTTTCTCTCTTATTTCTATATTGTTTAATAGTTCTTCGTTTAATCTCCATCCATGATGTGAGCTCACCTCCCCATGTAGAGTTAACATTATTGAATTATGGTTCAAGAAGGTCCTTGGTAGTATCAGAGATAATTCAGCAGATAATCAGAGATAATGCCAGCAAACAGTCACTTTCCTACCTTCCTGTCCCTTATCATTGTTATTGTTTTCAAATGCAGTCATGCTTCTCTCTAGTCTGACTAGTCCTTTTGGCTTTCCTTACTAAGTAACTGAATGACTCTGCTTTATTTTCTAAGGTTTTACCACTTATAGGCAAGTAAAACACTTGCCACCAACTCCAGCACATCACTTACCTCGTTATAAGCTCTGGAGGCAGCTCCTTCTCATCCTCCCAAACAGTCATATCTACAATATATTTTATCACTGAAGGGAACATTTTTCTTGCTTGCGCTATTAGCTCTTCATTCAACTGGCATTCCACGTTCTACAGGGGGGGAAATGCTAATATGAATTAAGAAATCCTGTGCAATATTAATCTGTTGAACATAAGGAACACTCTTCCTCCAACTGTTGTTACAAAAATCTAAATAATGGGAATTTAATAAAAAGCTTAAAAATATATAAATGCAGCACTCTGAAAATAAGTGAGCGGTTATTTATTTATTAAAAAATGTTTTTATACTGCCTCTCATCTTAACATACACTCCCATAACAGCAACAAGTACATCATGAAGTGTGAGGTCTTACAATATCTGTTTTCCAATATATTGCAGGCAGGTGTGTTACCTCTTCCGTGCTTCCTGCTGCTCCAGGCTCATGATTTGTACACAGTGGTCCAGTCTTCCATGCTTCTGTATCTCCACAATCACAAAAACCTCCTCCCGTAGAAGTGTGCATCTGAAACAATTAAGGCCATCAGATACAATTTTGTACTATTAGTACAAAAAGCCCTACATGATTTGGAATCACTTTACCTGAGGGATCGCCTTCCCCCATACATTCCCACTCAACCACTTCATTCTGTGGAACTGGCACTGATACAGGTGCCACATAATACTCGTTCCACATTTGTAAGAAATGAATCTCTGTGGCATTCCCACAATTTGGAATTCCCTGCCTACTGATGTAAGGCAGGCCTCTTCATTGTACTCTTTTCAAATCTGCTAAAAACAGGCAGGTCTACTCAGATACGTAGAATGTTTCCATGTATTTTCATCAGTTTCGCTTATCACTGATTTTATTTATTATCTGAATGTTTTAAATAGCTGTTTTTACTATCCTTTTCATAAACCTCTTTGAGGTTTTGGGTGTTGGTTTTGTTACACCGTCAAACAAATTTTATTAAACAAATAAATATTAAATAAATAAATAAAAATAAAAATTTGCGCCCAAAGCCCTTTTAGAACACTATGCTAAACTATGTATTAGCATCATGTGTATGAGCAATAACGAGCCTCAGGCTTGGGTGCTCTACCTCTTCCTCTGGCAGGGCCACAAAGAGATCGTAAGTTTTCACTTGTGTTTTAAAAATATAAGGAAACTCTGCTTAGTTTAAACTATGGTTTATTCGAAAGAAGCCAAAATCATAACAGCATCCCATTTTCCCAGGTGCTCTTCTGACTATGTGTTCAACATGCCATGTTCCAAGCACTGAAACTTTGCCCCATATGACTCCTTCCACCATTCCCTCCATTTTAGCTTTCCTCACCAGTGTAAATTTAGCTGGAGGCTGCAGATTCCATACTCTTACATTAGAGTCCATATGACCATACCTGACTGAACAATTCTCCTGCTCCCATCAACCGACTCCCTGATCCTACAGCATTAAAAATGGGGATTGCTCTCTATGAAAAAACTACCATCTACTAAACATCATGGATGATGCAGATCTAAGGAATACAAAGGATTCCTCCCCCTTTTGTATTCTACCCATTTTCTATCCCTTCTATTTTCTTCCTTAATTGCAATAAAGCTTCTTGGGTTTGACTGTATACTTTTATGATGCACCACACTTTCATGCTAACTAAACGCTTCGACCAAGAGAAAACAGGCTGAACTCGTTCAGCAGTAACTGGGGAGATAGGAGTTGAATGTGGCATCAAACTCTCAACATTCCTTTTGTTCAGAGGTTAGGTGAATTGAGAGGCAGTGGTAGACATAGGCCGAGATGTCACCAACTAGGCAAACCTTCAATGCTGTTCGAGCAATCTCCACAACAACCACTGTGATCTACAAAGCTACTGCAGGTGTGTGCAAGGGCTTGGGTATATCACTTTACTTTTTTCTTTCAACAAATCCCCACACCATCTCACAAATTGATTTGGTAAGTCTTCAATTACAAAAATGGTTTGGGTATGTGACATGGAACCCGCTGTTAAAGAAAAACAAGCCCCCAACCCCTTCTCAATAGTGGAAAAAGTTGCAGTGTTCTTTAGAGCTCAGTCTATATGTTAAGAATTCAACTGCTAAGACACCTAGTCAAAGTTTATTAGACGTCTGGAATTTAGGAAAGCAGTTAAACTAGTCCTCCCCAAGTCATAAACTAGTAACTAAAAACATATTCAGAGCCTGAAAGCAAATCTATCAATTCAAGTCATCTTTGCCTAACCTTATTTCACTATGTATAACCCTTATTGGAAAGCACAAGGGGTTATTGGATGGTTTGCTTAAATTTATTTTTTACCGATGCTTAACCAGATTAAACAATACCTTGGAGCCTGGAGGAATTTAAACCTCTTGACCCAGGGCAGGGCAGCCAAAGTTAAAATGGTTGCTGTGACCAGGCTCCTGGTTCATTTCCCTAGTCCTCCTTATTTTAATTCCAGGTAAAACTATTAAAGGCTGGCAATCAGCTCTCAACATGTTCATCTTGCAGGCCCGTAAAGCAAAACTTGCTACATCTCTTGTTTGCCAAGTCAAGAGAAGATGGATGGGGCTTCCCCAGCATACAAACTTATTTTGATGTGCTGCAGTTATGCCAGATGATCCCACAGTTAACCACTGATGACATTAAATGCTGGATTGCCATCGAGAGCCAGGAGCCAATTTCCTGGCTGGCTGCTCTCCCTTGCCAACCAGGATTATGGCTGTTATGGCGAAACCTGGGAAACTAGTTGTATGCTGAGTGTCTGGTGTAGATGGAGAGGGAAGTTGGTTTCCTCCCCATCTCCACTGACTCCCTCACCTTTTCTTCATCATTATAAGGAAGTAGACAAACTAGCCTTGTGCAACAAGTTGCGAGAGCAAAAAATAGATTTGTTGAGCATCAAACATATCTCTCATTTTATTAAAGACGAGGGATTACAGACTGGAGGCAGATCTTTGAAGAGATTTGAATCTCAGGGTTCCAAGGGTTCTTGGAAGGGACTTGTTTCAACACTTTATGCTCTGGCTTCTAGACTTTCAATTTTCTCCCTTTGAAAACCTTTGATTAGCATGGGGAGGCTGATGTAGCCTTAGAAATAGATCCCTCACAGTAGTCTAGAATGTGGTCCTCTAAACCTTTCATTTCAGTTTCAGCTCTGGTAGGGAAAATTCATTAAATACAGAAATGGTTTTTAACCCCCGTACGTTTAAGCCACGTGCTAAAAGGGTGCTTCCCATTTTGTTGGTGGAGTTGCAATGTGAAAGGCTCAGTGGTTTTTGAACTCAGCACCACCACCAGACCAAAGATCTATAGGTCTATCCTGTTAGCTATTTGCAGTTTAGTAGCGCTGTAGAGAGCTTGCTGGGGAGACCATGCATTAAAAAGGGACTCAAAAATAACTTAAACAAGGTTTTAATAACAAAAACAAAAGCTCCTTATACACTAAATACATCAACAACAAACCAGACTCAACCACCAACCCATCCCCCAGGGTAATGGGGAGAGCTAGGTGCTGCTCCTTATATACTATACCCAATTGCTGACACAGCTTGATTAACACAACTCAGCAGCACCTGCTATGTCTCACAGCTGCAAGATTGGGTCTCGTTATTTGCCTTGGCCCTGGCTCTTAAAGACATACACAACTTGTGAAATAAGAATGAACCTTCACATTTTAAAGTGACCATTCAACATATCCAGGTGTGCTTACTTTCCACGTTTGTGGGAGATAATTCCAATTTACATAGCAAGATACTGATAACTCATTTGCTAACAGCTGCCCCTTAGTCGTGAGTCAAGGCTGGAAAGACCCTTCTATGTAGTCTATTACAAACTGGTTATAAAAAGCTTTACTTATAGCCACAACAGAGAAATTGACCCACCAACTCCAAGTTCTCAGGGGGGAAGTGGACCCATTGGACTTTGCAGCTGTCTGGTGGTTTTTTGTAGCTTGTTTAACAACACAGTCACACAAATGAGAAATTCCATCTAGGTTTGATTTCATCCGGTGCTGTTTTTGATTAGATGAGTTTTCGCTGTTTACATCTTACCTTGGAATACTGTCACACTGCTTCTTTTGTATGAGTTTTTTAAAAATATTTTTCTTTATATTTTTTGTCTCTTTACCTTTTGTTGAATTCTTGAAATAATCTCTTAGTCTTGCTTATTACATATTTAATAAAATAATAAAAGCAAGTTTACAAAAGAAAAGAAAATGCTCTAGCAAATTATTGTGAAGCATACATTTGATTACCTTGTAACGGTGGTTTTTGTGAATGCTGTTCTGGAAACAATCCATGCAGAGTACACAAGTTGGATCAATTGCACAGTCTCTGCAACGAAAGTAAGAAACCACTGTATAACCACCCACTCCAAAACATCACAAACCTCCCATATTCCAGCAACGTTGGTAGCAAAGTTTTAGACACTCTATTCATTTTCAGTCGAAGTATGAACATTACAAATTCAATATTAATATTTTCGCTTCAATATTAGGTGCAACTATTTAACATGGAACTGCAGTTTGTTCAGAAGTAAAGGCAGAAGTTTTCACGAAGAGGAGGAAATGTGCAGCCCCAAGGCTCACCAAGCCTTGTCTCCATGCACCTGAACTACGGTTCAGTTCTCTATCGAAACTGAGTCACCATGTTATAATAGCGGTCAAGTTATTGTAAAAATATTTATTATTTAAAAAATATTTAGACCCTTCATGCTCACAGATACCAGGTGGTATATAAACTATTTAGAAGCAGTTAAAACAACATAGCAGACTAACCAACATGAACTACACAAACTGCAACTTAACATGCATAAAGGTTTGACCTAGTGCCTAAAAATCGTGAAGTCAGTGCTAGCCATGCCTCTATAGGGAGAGTACTGCAAACTCAGGGCAGCACAGAGTAGGCTCTCTCCCTTTTTGTTATGTAATGTACTTCCCCTAGCAGGAGTACACAGAGAAAAGTCTTAACTGAAGATCTTAAGACTCCAGTAGGTTGATATAAAGAGAGGCACTCCTTCAGGTATTTGAACCTCCGGCCTTAAATAACAGTATCCTGAATAGGGCTTAGAAGCAAGTAGGTAATCAATGCAGTTTTTGCAAAATAAATATAATGTGATTTAGCCTAGTTGCACTAGTTAAAAATCTGGCAGCCATATTCTGCGCTAACTGAAGTTTCCAGGTTGTCTTCAAGGGCAGCCCCACCTACAAATGCATTACAACAGCAACAGGCAGCTGCAGCGCTACACCTCACACAGAAGCAATATTGGGAGCTGGGGAGACTAGATGTAAGTAACAGGGGGTTTCTGTCCCAGGCGCAGCTGCTGTGCCCATGTCTTTTAAATGGAAGTTTATCTGCTTTTACCATTGTTTTCCCTTTTATTTTAAGTTGCAAGACTCCCCTCTTCCCCTATCCCTGTTATCCTCTCTTCCCCTCTTCCCCTATCCCTGTTATCGCTTGCCCTTATATGACTATTACCTTATACTAGTATCCTCAGAAAGTGCAAACTTATTAGAAATACGTGATGCACCAAACATAACAGTAGGAAATACTGAAGAGCAAGAGTGTAATTATTCACCTGCATGAATATGTTGTCTCTCCACCTTTGAACACCTTTCCACAGAGCTGAGGAGTGCCACTCTGCCGTAGCTTCTCTAGACAGATATCTGGATCTTCACCGAACAGATACCACTCCAGAGGGTAAAGTATGGTCATCTGAGCTATTTCTTCCTCCTTTTCTGGCAAGGGATCCATTTCATCAAAATAAATGTCCGGAACAACTTTTGCCAGATGCTGAAGAAAGGCAGTATGAAAGTCAAGCTTCTCGTCCCACCACTGCAAGAAACACAAAAGTATACTTAGACATTGGCGGGAGGGCCTGGATAATTGGAGCACATGAACAGGCATACTTTTATGTACCATGATCTCAAGCTAAGCTGTACAGGACTTTAAAGAGAAAAGTAACTGCTTTGAATTGTACTTGGAAAGAGGCCGGTAATCAATGAAGATGCTTAAGAACTGGCGATATATGTTTCCATCTTTCAGTCCTGGACAAAAGCTCTGAAGCTGCCATTTCCAAAAGCCTTCAGGAGCTACAGGCACGAGTTAGCTGTCCTCAGCTCTTCCTCTTCTTCCCCCACCCTCAGACCTTTATAGCTATGAAGCATCAGGAGAAGCTACAAGAGGGATGACTCACTTGATACAATACTCTAGAAGCATTTCTCCCATTACAATCAACTTCATCAGCATAACCACACTTTCCTAATAGCGGGCTATAATTGTTCATAACAGGATTACAACTGGCATGCAATATAACAAGTGGGAAAATGCTCCACTTGTAAATCATAGAATTGCAGAGTTGGAAGAGACCATAAAGGTCATCTAGTCCAATTCCCTGTTTCCCAACAAAACCCACAACCCTTAGATTAAGAGTCTCATGCTCTACCATTGCAGCAATGTTATCTTAAGCCAGGTTGAGCATCACTGTGGCTACAAAAAGTCATAAAATTAGATGTCAGCATGTATACGTGATTTACAAGCATACTCCCATATGCCATTCAACCAACATTTTCCCCAAAGGCACCAAGGAATAGTTTCTGATTATGATGGTGACAATAATGACGATGATGCATTTCTCACCCACTCTTCACCATAAGGTGTCAGAGCTGCTTACAACACAGTCAAAAGAATACGGCTGATCCCAATGTATCAGTTGTTAAAAGACCAGAATAACAGATAAAGTAATGGTTTATACCAGTGTTTCCCAACCTTGGGCCTCCAGCTGTTTTTGAATTACAATTCCCATCATCCCTGACCACTGGTCTTGCTAGCTAGGGATGATGGGAGTTGTAGTCCAAAAACAGCTGGAGGCCCAAGGTTGGGAAACACTGGTTTATACATCACCATAGCAAGGATGGTAAAGAGTGCCAGACTGGGTCAGAGGAGACAAGGGTTCAATTCCCCACTCAGCCACTCTGAATACCAAGTGCTGAAGGCAAACAATAAGGAAATAATATTTTGTTCATGCTTGGTTATTAAGTATATCTGAGGCATCTGAGAGTAGGCTAGAGTAAATAAACTCCTGATGTGATCCAGGAGAACACTTAACGTTCTCATGACCTGCTGCCAAGGGAGAGGTGCTATATATTTCCTGTTCCACAGAACTTCCATCAAGCCCAGAGATCACATGTGGAAATCCACAGTGTTTGTATTTGTTTATATATTTTATACAACTTTTTTTTCCATAAAGAGGTTAACATAATTGGAAAGCTGTAACATCTGAAGTACTATGTTACAGCAGTAAAACAATAATAATTACATCATTTAAAACAGCCAACAAATTACAATTTTAAGTACTGCTTGCTCATAATTTTTTATCCTGTACATATGGTGGTTCTATTCCCATTTTACCCACCTTGTAAGATTGGGTTGAGAGGGAGACTGACCATCCCAAAGTTACCCAGTTGGCTTTGTGGCTGAGCAAAGATTTAAACCTGGCTCTTCCCAGTCTAAGTCCACTGCACCATTCTAACTTACATCTCATAATGATTCCAGGCTAACATACTAAACATTTGGGAGCAAGGCCTCCACATCAGATTTCAAACGAAAGGCTCATCATTGGACAAATGCATTCTGTTCGATAGTCTGCCCTTGGTTTTTTAGGGTTTAAAATAGTCTTGAAAATTAGTCAACAAAAGTTGCTAGGCCACCTGCAGGCATATTAGTCATGTGTGGAACATCAAAGGCCAAAATGAAAAGGCAGCACCTTTTCCTAATAGCTAAATAATAGCCTATAATCAATCCTAGCTCATAAAGCCATCTCTGATTAACACCCTGCCATCTTCACTGAATTATCTGGCACACTGCACAGTACAATCAGTACTTGAAATAGGGAAGAGGACACAATTCTAAAATCAGCAAGAAAATAAATTACATGAGTTTCACCTTGTAATATTTTTCATTTTAAAAGCTCACTAGCAAAGATAGGGCAAAGTCATCTCCTCTTTATTTAGATACATGTTCTTTGCTTCTTACAAAAGCTTCTGATATTGAATTATGTGGAAATGCAGAGTAGAAATATTGAAAAAGTCTAATTTCAATGTAGTTTCTCTGAACCCCTCCAATTTTACTCAAGATTTGCATCAGTAAAGACAATAAGTATCTTGCTTATTAACTTCTGTATTTTAAAAATAACTATACTCTTATAATGTGCCTTCAGCAGAATCAATATTAACATGCTAAATCCCATGAGGAAATGCAAAACAAAGTCAATGAACAGGATAGCACATTATTTAAATATTGTGCAAGTCTACACGATCCTTTTAAATCCCATGAGGAAATGCTACAGACAAAATAAAGTTTGAACTGATCTCTTACCACTGTCCCCATACTAGCCTTTCTTTGAAAAACTAAAGCAATTTAAGGCATTAGTACTTCTTATTTCAATATCCTATCAATACAGGCAACATTTTATTAAGATATGGTATTTCATTTTAATTTCATATTTAACTTGTTATTATTTCCAACACTAGATTCCTAGTATTGTGCACATCAAAAATAAAGCTGCTATAAATTGCAGAATCCGCTGTGATCTTCAGACCCATGTTTCAAGATTATTAGGAAGGCTGCAATCCTAAACCTACTTACCTGGGAGTAAATCCCATTTAATTAAGTAGACACGGTTAAGATGCTCTGTAAGGGTCATTAGTGGTTCCAACATCTCTCTTGCCACTGCGTATTACAAAATTGTTCTTCACATGGGATTAATTAGTTAATTAAAGTTAGAGGAGGTTGGCTATCTTTTAGGACAAAGGTCCTCTCACATGAAAACTATACTTAATTGACATTGGACCCCACCCAAACTTTTTCAAATCACCCATAATCAATCCCCAAAATGTTGAAGGGTGTGTGATGCTTTGGGATCCCAGATCTGTATGTTGTAGGACTGCACCCCGGCACAATAATTTTGGCAAAATGTCTTTTCTGAAATTTCTATTATAATTTATCATAAACTGATATCAGAGGGCATATCAATTCTGAGATTACTTCTTGGGCTTTGGTTTCCTAGCCAATAGCTGCTGTCAGAATGGAAAAGCTGTCAGGTGGAAAACATGAGGGAATCTTACTTTACATTCCTGGTTTACTCATGTGTAGAAAACAGCACTTTCTGAATGCTTGCCTCAGCATGGCAGAATGATAAATGGACAATGTGATAAATGGACAATGTAAGAAGGATAAGTTCTTCAGTACGTGGTCATTGTTTACAGATTACATTAGCAAGGCAGTACTGCTACTACAACCGCCTGTGGCATGTGTATTGTTATGGAGAAGCTTAATTTAACCTTAAAATACCATCATTTGTACCTTAATTTTACCAACTGAAACTGACATATTGGCAAGCTGTACTCCAAGTTTTGTTTTATTTCTGTTTACTGTTCCACTATGGAAAACCAATAAAACAGTTGTTGTTTTTTTAAGTCCTCTCACAAAGTAGCTTCCATAAAAACCAAAACCACAATACACATAGGCAAAAAGATAAAATCCAACAACAATAAAATAACTGTAGGAGTATAAATAGCAATACCAGAGAAGCATAAAACTATCAAAACCAGCTAAAATACTTAATACCACTTTAGCATCAAATTCATACCAATAATACTACAAAGGTTTCTGGATTTTAGAGGCAGCCCCCCCCCCCGAGTGAATTACAGTATTGACCATCACTGCCACATGAGAAGCCAGGACTGTGTCCATCCTCTCTAGATATGGTTGCACACAAGCCTAAATTGGCAATCTGAACTCCTAGCCACTGTCACCATCACTGCAACATGTGGTTCCATCTACAATATCAAGTCCAGGAGGACCCTCTCTAGACAAGCTTATCTGGAAACTTCTTTGTGGTTTTTTCAGCACCAGATGAAGACCTTCTAATTCACCCAGGTTTTAAAACTGTTTTAAATCTGGCCTGTAAACTGCTTTGTGCCGTCTCTAAATGGAGCATTAATTATATATTGTTGGGTTTTAATTTAATTGTATATTCTGTTTTTGATACTTTTGTTGTAAGCCCCCTAGGGAACGTTTATTTATTGGCAGCTGTTGTGAATTATAATTATTTAGAATTATTTAAATAATAAGTAAGTCCCTAGTTGTGAATTTTGTCCTTCAGGGATAGTTCAGAGCTGGTTGCATACCCCCATCTGGATCAATCCATTTCCTTATCCAGAGCAGCCCACATCTTGTCTGAATTAAGCTTCAGCTTGTTCTTCTCATGCACCCTAAAACTTTCTTCAAATACCAGTTCAGTAAGTCCATAGCCTCATCAGGATAGAGGGAAGTGTGGATTAGACATGCATGCCTTCTGTGTACTGATGACACTGCAACCCAACCAGTATTCTTTTCGCAATCTCACACCTTGAGCATGGTTTGAACTATGGAAAGGTGGCATACAAACAAAATTTTGTATGTATGTAAATAACACAGTGTACAAGAGAAAACTTTGAGGCACATTCTGAGCCATAGGTATAGAAGTCTCCAGCATCATCTGCCAGGATGAGTCCTCCAGGAGGAGTAAAGCCACTCTAACTCAGAGCTGCCCGAGCTCAAGGCAACAAGAGAACCAATCAGCTTGCACTTCCCATATCCATTCTCCAGCATAAGACATCTGCCAAGGCAACCAAGGCTGTTTCTATTCTAAACACAAGCCTCAACCCAGACTGGAATAGATTCAAATAATTAATATCACCCCAGACCACTTTGAGTGCCTTTCTATTGATGTTTTCCTTTCCCATATCTGATACATATGATAGTCCGTTGATAAAGTTACAGTGCCCTTCAAAAATACATGAATCAGTGTCCAATCATCTCCCGCTCACACGCACTTTAAAGAAATAAACAGAATATATGTGTGTGTGCCCTTCTTATTTGACATGGTAAGTTGGACAACATATGTCCCTGGCTGCCTGCAACCCATCTCCCTTTATGCCAATAAATTAGGTTATGATACTGCCACCTTTCCTGTTAATAAAGATGAAAACATTTTAACATGGTATTCATTAAGTTTAGTTGCTCTGGAAGTTCAGACAACTCAAAAGAGAAAGAAATGGCTGGAACTGGAATGCAGTTTGTTTTGTTTAAGTAGAAACTGAAACCAATTTTGAATATGAAAAGTCAATGCTAAACATAGTATATGCACTAACTCAAATAATAATGATCCATTTTAGGTACCTTCTGCTCATTTCTCTATTTCTTATCACTTCAGGCTTCCAGTCCTCCCATTTTACACATTCCAGTTTCCTCATGCTATCATTTCACTTCTCTTTCTGCACATTTAGGTCTGCCTATCATTCTGCACATTTGGTTATTACCAGTCCACTTTCTTTTTCTGTTTCTGGCTTTTACACATTAACTCCTTTCCATGAAGAAATCATTTAATGAAAAACCCTGTCAAATTTGTTTCACACTATTTCCAAGAATGTCTTGCCTAGGAACACGACATATAAATTCTGGCTACGCTGTTCCTTTTACTCAGAACAGCATATGCACTTCCTGAAAACCCACTATTTCCTTGAACTGTTATTTCATACTGTTAAGCAGCAAGTCCTTGGGTTGTCTATGTATTTTGCCTGTTTACGTGTCAATAGCATCAGTATCAACATGTATTAAACTGATGCACTTTTAGAATGACAGTAGACAGAATAAAACCAAAATTAACTAAAAAAAAAAAAAGAACAGTCTGAGCATTGCATTTGTTTATTACACCTTGAAAGTGTTTATGAGATTAATATATTTAGAAAGGGTTAAGTGCTTTACTAAAACGTTAACTAGAGAAGGGGGGGGAATGGCATTGCTGGAGCACAGGAGCCATTTGTAAATAAACACACACTATCATAAACATATTTAAAAGAACTATGTCATATCAGACCCTGTGAGTTTGATGTGGCTTAATCTTTTCTTCGTGTTATTGTGGCCTAAAAAGAAAAAAACCCAAAACAATCCACTAAGCCCAACCAGAATTAGGAGGAAGAAGGTAAGATCTTTGGACTCAGCCCTCTTCCTTTCCTCTCTGCCAACTTTACAATAACAAAATCTTCTGCTTGATCACAACCACTGCCCTAGATTAAAACCCTCATTTTAACTGGTAGTGCCCTGCCTGTTCGCGGCTCAAGAGAAGATCTTCTCAAGACCGGGAGAGAGGAGGGGACGCTCACATTTAAGACAACAGCTGCGGCTCATAGCAAGTCGCCTGTTTTAGACACCATAAGGAGCGCGAAGCAAAGGTCCTAATTCTTGCCGGTCATTTAAACGGGAGCATGCATGCTGTGTGGCACACCGTGCAGGTGCCCACTTCCAACACCTGACAGAGGGGCAGAGATTAACCGTTTGCAGAGCAGCGGGCAATTGGGAATTAGCAGGAGCCAGACCCCCAGCACTTCTGGAGAAGAGCCCCTTCCAGACATGCGAGGAAGCAGCCGGCAGCCCCGTGAATGCGGGCGACGTGGGGCGTTGTTACCCGCGAGGAACAGACTCCCCCCTTCCTACGGCACAAGCCGACGGGGAGGCTCCCAGCGCCCAGCCCACAGGGCTGCCAAGCCCACGCGGCGGCGGCGGCGGCGGCATCTCACCCTGGCCAACTCCGAGGGTTTCGCAGCGGGGGCAGCGCCTGCCGCTCCAGCCATCCCTCCGGCTCCGTCGCCTGCGTCCGCCATCTTAGGAGACCTGCCAATCTCCAAGCCGAGCCCCGCCGCGGCCCCACCGGAAACCAGCTGCGGGGGGAGGGAGGAGGAGCAGCGGAGGGGGGGATTCGCCCAAAAAACTTGACCCGACGCCCAGCGCTGGAAACCGAGGCGAATTTGGTCCTGGGCGACACTGAGCATGCGCGGGAGATCGCACACGCATGCTCAGGAGAACGCTGCTCCACTGCCGGGAGAGGAGGGCGCCGGTTCAGCCACGGCTTGTCAAGCGAGCGGGAGATGCAGAGCGCGAGGAAGTGGCGCTTTTTAGCTCTGTGTTTTATTAGAGGAAGCTTTTCTAGACCTGCATAAGCTTCCGTCCGGCACACACATATCTGGAGACAAGGGGGCCAACTTGAATAAAATATGGGGGGGGCACATAAAGCCCCTTCTCCATAATCAATCTCACTCGCACCATTCAGTTTTGGGGGGGCGACCCCCTCAAATATTTTATTGGGGTAGGGGGGCAGTGCCGGATTTATGTAGAAGCTAACCAAGCTATAGCTTAGGGCCCCACTCTCTTGGGGGCCCCAAAAAAATTTAAAGGGGGAAAAAACTATTCATTGTATTTCAGTTCTACAATTACTTTGATAAAATACATATTTTGTTGCGTGCAAATGGCTTTAGATACCTATTAGGTCCATAAATTACAGTATAGCATATATTCAACACAAAAAAGAGCGACAATTTGTTGCTGACAAAGGACAGTTGGACATAGAAAGGGCCCCATAGAAAGGACACCTTCAGTAGCTTAGGGCCTCATCAAAGCTGAATCCGGCCCTGGTAGGGAGCCAGTGTCCCTAGGAGTTGCATATGTTTGAAGGGAAAAGGTCAACTGAACTTAGAATCTCAGAATTCACAGCGTTGGGAGTGACCTCAAGGGCCACCTACTCCAACCCAGGAGTGAAACTAGCCTTTTTTTCACCTGGGGCAAACACCCAGTTTGGCCCCACCCCCATGTCTTACTTTTAAAAGACAGCCCTGTTTAGGGAAGTTTTTAATGTTTAATGCTGTATTGTGCTCCCCCCCCCCTTGTAGTTACAGCCTCTTGATCTCTTTGTTAAGATGTGCTTTTGGGGGGCCTATTGTCATTCAGGAAATGCCACCCTATCACCCTCTTGCAAAAGGGGAGGGAGATGGCATTCGGGTACTTTGGTAGCAATTGGAAAAGGGCACAGCTTGCTTGGAACACAGGCACACATGAGGGTGCTTCAAAGCACTACTTTTTTACACTTGGTACACAAAGTCCTATATTGGTTTTCCTGGTGCTTGTTCGTCTTTATTATTATTAAAGATTTTCTTGATTTACAAAAGTGTGTGCAATGTCTCTCTCCCATATATATATATATCCCATATATATATATCCATGTAACATTTTTACAAATCAGTTTCATTTGTTGAGACATTAAGAAGAAAGGGGGGAAAGAGATGGGGGGGGGGGGTCGGGTGGCGATGTTTCTAACTATATTGTGTTTTTAATATTTGGTTGGAAGCCGCCCAGAGTGGCTGGGGAAATCCAGCCAGATGGGTGGGTATAAATAATAAATTATTTATTTATTTGTTGTTGTTGTTGTTATGCATATTCTTATTAGAAGTGAGGTTACAGGAAACCAGGCAGAGGACCTTCTCGGTAGTGGCACTCGCTCTGTGGAATGCCTTCCCATCAGATGTCAAAGAAATAAACAACTATCCGACTTTTAGAAGACATCTGAAGGCAACCTTGTTTAGGGAAGTTTTTAATGTCTAGTGTTTTATCGTGTTTTTAATATTTTGTTGGGAGCTGCCCAGAGTGGCTGGGGAAACCCAGCCAGGTGCGCAGCGTATAAATAAATTATTATTATTATTATTCACATTTGTGCACCCCCGCACACACAGGCTGGGAACCTCAATGGCGCCCTTCTGGAGGCTTCAACCTGGAAGCTGCAATCCTATACCCATTTACACAGAAATAGGCTTTATTGAGCTTAATGGGACTTTGCCAAATAAATCTTAACTATGATGGACTTGTGATTGACCAGATTGTGCTGTCAAGAGTTTTGTGACTGGTCTATCCAGCAACTCAAATTGAAGTTACCAGCTACAATCTCTAGGGGCAATGAGAACTTCGCCCACTCCCTGGTCTTGAAACTCACAGAGATTTCAAAACTAATTTGTGATGAGGTCTGCTATTCAAATTAAAATACAAGGCACCCTTCAAGCTTTCCAGATTCCAGCCGCTTTGGCACCATATCCTCAAGCCTTCTCTTGCGACATTTTCTGCTATTCCTTTAATTTAAACTGATTCACAGCCTGAAGCCATCAAAGCAGTGTACAGCGAGATAATAAAAAAGCAAGCAAACCGTTTCTACAACGGAAAATGTTTTTCCCCCTTGCTTTTCAGGGGTATGCTACTGCTCATGGGCTTAGCAGCTGCCTAACCCTAAATCAAGTAAGGTAAAGGGACCCCTGACAGTTAGGTCCAGTCTCGAATGACTCTTGGGTTGTGGTGCTCATCATGTGCCCAGCATGACTAAGCCAAACCCTAAATCAAGTAAATAAATACAAATATTTAACTAAAGGAAATTGTAGAAAGATTTTGACAGATTTGTCTGAGCACTGAGGCTCAAAAGGAAGTACTGTAATTTTAAACAACTGTTGCTGAGGCATTTCATTCTGAATTTGCACAGGATGTTGGCAGGTGGGTGTCCTGCCCCCTCCCCAAATCCTCGCTGTATGTTGCTGCAAAAGCAGCAGCAGCAGCAGCAGTTCCCCCAAGCTAGGGCTGAGCCCTGATGTGACATCACAGCTCCCGCCACTTGGCTTGGGAAAGAAGGCGCGCCCATCCATCCTTGCCGCACGCAGCCCTTTGGACCGGTCCACCGCGGCTTGCAGCCTAAGCAGCTTCTGCACGGCCTGGCCGGGCGCTTGTTGCTTCACCTCGCGAGCTCTGACGGCGGAAGCGGTTCTCCAATGGAGCCGAGGAAGGGAGGGCCTAACCGAACCCGGCGGGGCGGGCGGGTGGGCGGCCGCCCTACCCTTCAAGTGGGCCGAGGCGGAAGCTGACAGCTTTTCCCGCCGCGCTTCGCCTCAGCAGGGACCGGCGGAGGTTTGCGCTCGCGTGCATGACAGCGAGCTGGTGGAAAATGCTGCGCTTAGTCGCCGGGCTCTTGGCGGCCGCCCTCGCTGCGCTGCTGGTGGGCTGGCACAGCCCTTCGGGGCCCGAGCAGTTGCGGCGCCAGCCTCGCTCCTTCTCCCCTGAGCCGGCGCCCGGAGCCGAGGCCAACAACCTCTTCTGGATAATTCAGGCGAGTCGAGCCGCCTCGTGACCCTTTCGTGAACCCGGGGAGACAGACACGCGGCCCCAGCGCCCCGTTAGAAGGGTGCCCTGCGGGGAAACCGCAGCAGCACTTGGGGTTTAATTCTTAAGGCAAATCATGATCATAACTGTTATAGATGATAACTATGCAACGGTCGCACTGTGTTTTTCACTTATTGTTTTCCTCTTTTCAGAATCGGAGGGGTTAAAGGCACAAATAAACTGGTGCATTGGATGGGGGGTAATGCAGGCTGTTGCTGTGAGGCCACTAATGAATGGCAAATAGTTATTCTGATAACTGAGATCAGGGAACTACATTAATGCGCAGAGAGGTTAGATTTGCCTGGCATGGATATGCTTTGCAACAGGCACAAGCCTTGCCAAGTTCTGATCAGTGAGATCAGAAACTGGCATTAATGCATTGAAGGGTCTGACTTGTGGGTTTGTCCACACTTCTGCTTGTCCCATATGGACATAGCCAGGATTTATTTTAGGAGGGGCAGGCTTTATGTTGAGGGGGGGGAGAACCGAAATATCTGCAACACAGCCAGTTAAGTATTTCTATTTATTTACCTGATGGGGGGCAGTTGCCCTCCCTGAACCCCCTGGCTACGTCCATGTTGTCCCATGCTTAGAAAACACAGGTCTGAGCAGTTTTCCCTTTGCCCCACCACTTTCCCCCAGAAAACCTGTTCTTTAGTGCTAAATCAGAACAAATGGCAATAAGTAGAAAACCTGATTGCCATTTGTTCAGATTCAGTGATAAACTGCAGGTTTCCCCTGGGAACAGCAGCAGGACAAACAGAAGTGTGGAGAAGTCCTATGTTTGCAATAGAATGCTGTTAGATGAGGTATGTTGCATGGGTAGACCTCGCTCTGGTGAGGATATGTCAGATGAACCTCTGTTATATGTTCACATGGTGCTAGTACAGCCAGTTTTGCTGGAAATAAAAACTGTAAAAGGCTGTTGATAATTGACATAGCTAATTGATATGAATAAAAAAAATCCAAAAGTGCTCGTTGTGAAATTAAGCTGTCAGTGTTTTAACTCTTGTTCAGTGTAGGCAATATTTGGAACTGTTTCTATACACAATTTCCTAAATATGCTATTCTGTAAGCATTTTGCCAGCCTCCTTTCCCCCCCCCCTTGTAGGTATCAGATCTACACATCAGTAAGTTTCAGAGTCCCGAACGAGCTTCTGATTTTGAAAAGTTCTGTGCGGAAACGGTTCCTGTCATTCAACCTGTCCTTACTTTAGCAACAGGTGAGACATCGTCTCCTCATCCCCAACCTCCCACTCTAATTACTTTGTAGAATGCATTATTGTACTTGAGGTTTGCGTTTCTGAGGTCATGCATGTTGGTTGCTGGTCTGGATCTGAAGTAAAAAGTGGTAGCATTGTCATCAGATGTGTGACTAGGGAAGTGTAAGCACAGGGCTGAAGAGTGGAGCAGGGGAGTTGTAACCTAATAAGAGGCTGTTGGATTGGACCAGTGGCCTATCTAGTCCAGCATCCTGTTTTTATAGTGAGCAATCAGATGCCTATCGGAAAACCACAGGCGGGAAAACCACAGCACTCCTCCCAAATGTGGTTTCCAGCATCTGGTATTCAGAAGCATACTGCCTCAGAAAGCTACTTTCTAACACACTTTTAAAGCCATCAGGTTGGTGGCCATCACTGCCTCTTGTGAGAGTGGATTGCATAGTACTGTATAACTATGCATTGTGTGAAGAAGTACTTTCTTTTGTCCGTCCTGATTCTTCCAACATTGAATGCCCATGAGAGGGAGAAAAACTTACACCATTCATCATTTTATACAATTCTCTTACTCACCTTTTCTCCAAACTGAAAAGCCCTGAATGTAGCCTTTCCTCATATGGGACTAACAATTCCTGTGTTCCTCCACCCTCCATTACTTTCCCAGTTCCATCATATGATTGCTTTTAATCTTGTAAGAATTCAGCTTCGGTTAGTTTGGGAGCACCAGGTCTTCCCACTTATACTACTACAACTTTTTTTTACCTCAGAGGCCTTTTTATGAGTCAGCAGTCTTTGGAAGTAGTATGTACAGCTGCTTTAGAGAAAGAGACAGGGGAAATGTGCCCCTGTTAATTCTTCTCGACCTGTCAGTGGCTTTCAATACCATTGACCATGGTATCCTTCTGGAGTTAGGGGTAGGTGGCACCACTTTGCAGTGCAGCCTTCAGTGTGGGATTCCTCAGAGTTCAGTTTTATCCCCTAGGCTGTTTAACATCTACATGAAACCACTGAGTGGGATTATCAGGAATATGCTGATGACACACAGCTCTACTTCTCCTTTACATCTGCAGGCGTGGCCTGTAGCAGAGCCAAGAAACTGAAGCTCAACCCAGAGAAGACTGAGGCACTGTTAGTGGGTGGTTCCCTAGACCGGATGGCTGGGAGGTTGCCTGCTCTTGATGGGGTTACACTCCCTCTGAAGGAGCAGGTACGTAGCTTGGGGGTACTTCTGGATTCTTTCCTGTTCCTTGAGGCTCAGGTGGCCTCAATGGCACGGAGTGCCTTCATCAGCTTTGGCTGGTGGTCCAGCTGCACCTCTGGACAGGGATAGCCTAACTTCTGGTAACTGTTAGGTTAGACTACTTCAAAGTGTTATGCATACGGCTGGTGATGGTTTGGAAACTTCAGCTGCTGCAGAATTTGGCAGCCAGGCCGCTCACTGGGACAAGGCAGTTTGAGCACATAACACTGATCCTGGCCCGACAGCACTGACTGCCAATTAGTTTCCAGATCCAACTCACAGTGCTGGTTTTGACCTATAAAGCCTGAGACGGCTCAGGACTCCAATACCTCAAGGACCACCTCTCCCCATATGAACCAACCCAGACCTTGTGATCATCATCTGAGGTCCTTCTTCGTGTGCCGCCTCCATGAGCGGTCAGGAGGGTGGCAACACAAGAGAGGGCCTTTTGTGTGGTGGCTCCCCATTTGTGGAATGCTCTCCCCAGGGAGGCTTGCATGGCGCCTTCATTACATATATTTAGGCTCTAATAATAATAATAATAATAATAATAATAATAATAATAATAATTACTATTATTATTATTATTAATAATAATAATAAATAAACAAAGAAACTAAACCAGTGTTTCCTCTGTTGTGACACCTTCTTGGGAACCCCTACAAAGGCAAGGCTGGCTCCCTCCCTATGCATATTTAGAAGTATGACCCAGGACTTCCTGTTTTAAATCATTACGTTGTTTCATTCTTTGTTATTCTATTTATATTCCACCCCATCATGTGTGTCTAGGTTAGAACCATTTCATTGATATCCATTTCTGTCCCTCAACAGTTTTACCAGTGCAATCCTAACCACGTTTATTCAGAAGAAAATCCTATTAAAATAAATGCGGCTTACTCCCAGATAGGTGGGGTTAGGGTTGCAACCTTAATCTGGATACTAAGAGGAAACAAAGAGGAGCAAACTAAAAACAATATTGTGTTTTGTTTGCATATAATTATATATGTATAACCCTATCCTGAAAATTGCTTTGCCCAGGCCGCAGGATGATGAAAAAAAACACAAACATTTGAATAATGAGAATGCAAAGTCAGGACGGATTGTTTCTAAAGGTAGCAATGGCACTGCCCTTGAAATTTTGGCTAGTAGCTTCCTGTAATTACTGGATAGCATGGGACTTACAGGAAGAGTTCTAGAGATAAAGGTTATTTTCTTACCATCCTTGCTAACCTCAGAATTATAAAGATTACGTACCAGTGAAAAGACGGTAATTAGAATGGTACTGCCTCTACCATGTGTGGGAGGTCTGTGAAGGATGTCTTAGACTCCTCCCAGAAAGTCCTAATTTTTACTTTGACTGTCTGCTCTTGGGCTGATGGTCAGTTTTGATCCAACTTCCAAGGTGTCTCCATGTCTCCAAGTGCAGCCCTTCTTTTCCCCATGGCTGCCAGTAAAGTTAAAAATAAAGTACACTCATAGGTATATTTGGGGTGGCAGCTGATTTCTTTCTGTTCTGCTGGCTCCACTGTCACTGGGCAGTTTCCCTCGTAAACCATTATGTTCAGTTTTTAATTCGAGCCAATTCATTTTTATGTCCTTTAAGTAAAACGGAACCTTTCATTCCCTGGGCAGTGGTGCAAAAGTGACCTGTGATATGCAGGGGGTGTGCCTGCTACTGCAGACACTAGCAACTCCAGAATATAAGGCTGGATAATTTAGTACATGCACACCTGACTGTGTTCCATATTTCAGCCTCCTGGTTTTGCCATACAGAACTTGTCATTGGGGGACAGTGGTATGTTTAAATTCAGGGAGAGTAACCAGCCAGTAATGAAATGAACCATGTCCCTCCCACCCCCACACTTCCTGGTTCTCCAGTAGGCCTCGTAGACAATTTCCCCACCTCCTATCCCTGTCCGTTTGTTCCTCCAGCTTTATAGCTAAATCTTCAGTCATTTGTAAGAGCTGGATCTCAGACAGGTTGGTTAGAGGAGCAAGACTGTGCACATCATTTGCTGTTTTAGGAATATCTGACAGCATATCAAAGTTCTGCTCAAGTGGAGCTAGAGCTGTTCCCCAGCCCAAAGCCAGTATTCCTCCAAGTCTCTGTCTTCCTCCAGTGTGGTAGATACTTTCCTGCCTTTGGGGACCTTCATATTGCTTTTGGCCATGCATCCTCTGAAGCATCCTCTGTCAGAGCTCTATTTCTTCCTGAAGAACTAACCTTGCTGTACAAAACTTTTTGTTTAGATGCCAATAGGATCCACTCTGCTTAGATTTTGTCCCAGGGAGATTGGAGAGACAGAATTATGCCGCTTGCCATACAGAATTAACGTGAACAATTTAAAATTGAGCACAGCTTACTTACATAGTACGACCTTAGATGACCTATTTAATAACAGTACTTTCGTTTATCTGCGATGTTTTTATATGTTTAATGTTCTGTGTCTCTTTTCTTTCATTAACAGGTGATTTGACTGATGCCAAAACAAAAGATAAACTTGGGTCTGATCAGTTTGAGGTGGAATGGCAAACTTACCAGACAATCTTAAAAAGATCTAAAGTCATGGAAAAAACCAAATGGATAGACATCAAAGGGAATCATGGTAAGAAAGATGTGAGACTCTGGAGGTGGGATTCCCATTTATTCTCCACATGTGAAGGATGGTAGGAAGATGCAGGTTACTCATTCTTTTGCTCCAGGAAGTCTTAATCCTCATCTCAACTGGAAGAGTAACCACCAATTTTAGTCCCCAATTTCGTTCTCCTCCATCGGCAGTGGCCTTGA